AGCATCAGAACTGGACCATGGGTGCATGTGCATCGTTTACATGGGGAGATGGCAGCAGGACGCACTGTGGGAAGAAGGCAGGCCAGTGGAAGCAGTGTTATGCTCTGGGCAATGTTCTGCTGAAAACTGTGGGGTCCTGGAATTCATGTAGATTTTACTTTGACATGTACCATCTACCTAGAGATTGTTGCAGACCACATACACCCTTTCATGCAATGGTGTTCCCTGATGGCAGTGACCTCTTTCAGCAGCAGAATGCACCCTGCCACACTCCAAACATTTTCAGGCATGGCTTGAGGAATGACAAGGAAGAATTTGGCTAGCACAAATTTTTTAATTTCTTTACTGTTTTTTAAGTCAATTTGTACCCAATAAATCATCTTGAAGCATGGAGAAAGATATCCTGGTCTTCTGATTTATCTTCGATCCTACCCGCAGCAGGAGGAACTGAAAGAAGGTGATAGCCCCCCAACGTTAACAGGGGAGGCACCCCAAGGTGCAGTTTTTTGGATACATTGTGAGTGCATTCTGGGAAGCGCAGTTCTTATTGGATCATACTATACTTCACTTTGTTTGGTTTCTTTTTTTTTTTCCTTATAGATTCTTAGCTTACTCCCAAATATTGTTTTTGTATTGTGCTGTGTAAGAGAGGTGGTAAGCTAGGGAATACCACAGGGGAAGCTGCATCTTATAGAAGGTAAGTATTTTTTGGCCTTGGGAAAGAAATGTAGGCTGCAGCATAATCCCCTGCCACCCTCTGCTACTAATGTCCCTTGAGACATGGCAGGCATGGCAGGGCATTATGCTGCAGCCTACATTTCTTTCCCGGATTAGCCACCCGGCTATATTATTTTAACAGACTTTTTGATGTAGCCACAAGGTAGTTTGGCTACATCTTTCGTTAGGGGATTTTGCTATTACGTTGGCACTGGGTGATGGAAGTTGGGGGATTAGTTACCTAACTAAGGTTTTTGGTAGACTGAAACTATCTCTTTATTGTATTTATTTTGGAAATCCCTGTGCCATAGGTGCTATTACCTGACAGAGGTAGTACTGTTTAGCATTCATCTCCTTTTGTTTGTTTCCCCCCCTCCCCTGTTTTCTTTCACTTTTCACAATGATAAATAGGGATTTTAACCCAAGACAATAAAAAGTTATATTTTATTTTATTCTATTTAATTTCTACTAGTGTAGATGGGGTTGCTCTAATATTCTGAAAGCTTGAAGGGGAATTGTTTAGATCTATCTATTCCCTTTCTGGCTTTTTTTGTTCTCTTCTCTTAGTTATACCCCCACATATCATAACCCTTTAAGTATGAGATAGGAATAGGGAGCTCAACAACCTAATCTGGAGTCACTCTTTTCTGACCGATAGTAGTATGTTCAAAGAAGAGAGAAGAGGTGGGAGTAGCACTTTGAGGTGTTCTCAGATGTATATGATATGGAATGATAAGAATGGACAAAAGTAGGAGTTGATAGTGTAGTATGTTATGGACACTAACAGGTAAAAATTAGATACACTTACACTCTACAGAGCTGTAAGTTAGCTCTACTTTATAAGCTTTATTCGCTTGAGCGGTTCCATCCCCATTTGAGGGTGTGAAATTAATCTCTTGGTCCAAACTCAGTTTTCTCCAGGATATGGAATAGGTCAAAAAAGAAAAAAAAAAGACCCTTCATATTGTAGTATGTAATGTCACTGCTAGGATAGTTTTCTCTGGAAAAACACTGTACACTACATATGAAAAATTTGAAATGTTTTAATGACCTAATCGTTTTTATTGATTCATTTTGTCTTGCATTAGTTTCAACATTTTAAACAGGAAAAAACAGAGTACTGTAATTAAGTGATTGTTGCTAAAACAATTTCAGTATACATTCATTTTAATGCCACATTGATGGTTTTGTTTTTTTTCTCACTCTATAGTGTCATCATGACTGGGGCATATAATAACTTCTTTCGTATGTTTGACCGGAACACTAAACGAGACGTAACCCTTGAAGCCTCCAGAGAAAGCAGCAAGCCACGAGCTGTCTTGAAACCCCGAAGGGTGTGCGTAGGTGGCAAGAGAAGAAAAGATGACATTAGTGTAGACAGCTTGGACTTTACCAAGAAGATCTTACACACCGCCTGGCACCCAACCGAGAACATCATTGCGATTGCCGCGACAAACAATCTGTACATATTTCAGGATAAAGTGAACTCAGACATGCACTAGGGATTATCATTAATCTTCTCAAATTTTAAAAACATTGACCTCCCTAGGGGCATCGGGATCGATGACCGATGTGGGAAATGTTCTTGATGGTTGGATTGCTATACTTCTCTTCCTTAACTCCTTGCATTGTACAATGTAAGGACCTACCCTATCCTAGGATTAAGGAATACATTATGTTTGAAGTGTTAGAACTTTGCAGCAAAGAGGGATTTATTAATATGCAAGTAGGTCAGTCTTACGGTTTTTGGCAGTGAAGGATCAAATGATGTTTGAATACCTGTTTTTGTTTTAAGGCTTTATGGCCTCTTTTTTTTTGCAATAACATTTTGCATCTAACTAAATGTAGTAATATCTGTATTTAACATTTTATTGGTGACAGGTCAGAGAAACAGAAAAAAAAAAGTTTACATCAACCAAATCATATTCTAATGTCTATTAATTCTACAACACCACTTTCTGGGAGAATACAATCATGCATGACCCATATTCCAATTACACATGTTAATATATACATAATATCAGATGATGCTCCCAAATGATTTGTTAAAAATAAGTGTAATTTAGAAGCAAAAGAAAAAAAAAAAAAGTAAAAGTTTTAACAAATAAGTGCATGTGTACAGTTCAACCATGGGGTTACTTTGCCTGCCGAAATCCAGAAATTCTTAAATTGTGTTCCCCCACCAAATGCTGCTGACACAATATAATCATTGTTTTACAGCAAAATTAAAGAATATATAAATATTGACTGTATATGAATATAGTTATTTGCAGTTATAAGTGGTAAAATGTTTCTTACACAGCAGAAACACTGTAATTGAGAATGGAAAAATTTTAAATAATTAAGTAATTATGCGTCGGTAACAATAGTTACCATCTTCAAAAATGAATATCGTGGGGAAAAATAAGCAAACTTTTTATTCGGTTTCATTTCTGTGTGGTAAATAGGTTTCCTGCATGCTGTAATTACCTAAAAAGGACAGAGTATTTTTAAATTAAAAGCTGCAGTTATATTTTGTGCGAAAATAAAATTTTTTTTTTTTTTTTATACACACATACTTTTATTTATAATACCACAATGTCTTTAAAAGTGAATGATTATTTTTTTCCAATTTTTTTTTTTTTTTTTTGGTGGAGTTAAAATAATCATCTAGTGACAACGAGCATTACAAACAGGACAGAAAGTTGAATTTCTATAGAATGGCATTGCCGTTGGCTGTTGTAAATCCCTGCAATTTTCCACTAAGGTTATTATATGGTCAGCTAAATGGGGACTATCCCAAATGCACATCAATACAATACAATGTCAGGAAAAATAAAAAAAGTTTACAATGTATGTAACCATGTCTATATCTGCAGAAAACTGATCTTTGGCATTACAGAACAAATGAGAAAAATAGTTATTTTTTTTAAAATGGATTATCCATTATAAATACTAATATTATGTAAGCCTCTCCACTACTAATATGCATGTTTTTATATTTTCGTTTCAGAAAGCGTCAGCAGCTTTCAAATGCAATCTCAACCTTTTTATATGATGTGTATCTTTGAAGCAGGTACATGCAATGCGTATGTTCGATTTATTTTCTAGACATGCTGTATATAGACGTGTGAAGCACAATAAGCATGTGCATCTATTCTCAGCCATACTGCACACGGCTTCAGGCGTGTCAGCTTCTTTTCAAGGAAATGAGGAATGTCTGTTTATATTGTATAATCTTATTATGAACAATATTATATGTACATATTTAATATATGAATTGTAAGGTTTCTTGGGAGGGCGGGAAATACAATATTATACATTAAAAAAGAAAAAAAAAAATTGCATTCTGTCTTTCACAAATGCCAGATTTGGAAATACCAAATATGGTATGCATTATTTTTTTTTGTCTGTGTCTGTCTGTGTGTGTGTGTGTGGGGTTTGTAAAGTGCAGTGTCAATGCAGATTTGATGTTGGACGTGTTGATCCGTGTTGCTACAGCTAAATATTGACCTCTGTATTTACCCTGCCCAGTCAATCCACTTGTTATTTTGTCAAAGTGGCGATCACATGACAACCAGTTATCAGAGTATTCAATTTAAAAAGCAAAACACATAGCCCAACTTGACCGTATAATTAAAGGAACACTAGAGAATTAGGAATTAAATTCTTACTATTTAAATGACGTGCCCCCTTCACAGTGTGGATAAAAAACAAAACAAAAAAAAACATTTCTTCACCTCTTAATCCTCACCGTATCCATGTGGTCGCCCCACCTCCCTTGGCTTAGGTTATCAGTCTTGATGATTTCAGCCAATCCAATGCTTACCCTAGTGAAGTATTGGAAGATTAGTGCACATTCGCAACAAAATACCACACTGCGCCAATCAGCATCTCCTGGCTGCTTCAATGAATGTCTATGGGCAGTATTGAACTGTGCAGAGTGTGGTGATCCTGAACATTGCTCCTGCAATCTTTACTAAACACTGCATTTTCTCAGAAACAGCAGCATTTACACTTCTAAATTTGCATGGACAGGCTATATGACCTAGAACCACTATATTAAGCTGTATTTGGTCCTGTGTCCCTTTAAGTGGAGTTTCTTTGTACCTGGAATCTTACTGACATACCATCAACATTTTGTTCGTTTTAATTCTCATTTTACTTCCCACACTGTAAAGAAGGTACCAACATCTTCCCATTGTATCCCAGAACTTGCTATCATTTTCCCGTCAAGCAGTGAACTTAACTGATCTGGGAGGTAGATGCTGGCAGGAAGCCAAAGTCAAATTTAGTGCTGGGAAGAGACTCTTATGAGATCATTGAGGTGCGTCAACATGGACAGTCTGAGTGTTGCTCTACTGTTCAATGTGAATTAATTAAATGCTTATTACGGAGTATAACTGAGTCTCTCTTAAACTGAACAAAGTTTTAGCTTTATTATGAACATTCCAATTAAAGTAAGTTGGTTAGTTCGGTGAATAATGCAGTTCTTCATTCAGCCACTCAGGAGGGTTGTCTGCCCAGAATTCAGGTAATAATTTGACTTTTTCCATGGCATTTCTTTTCCTTAAATATAACTCATCTAGATCTCTACTACCTGAATAGGATAAAATGCCCCCACGCTGACTCGGGCATACGTGGACACTTTTTCAGACTCTGGGCTATTTGTTATTTTTTTGTTGCTATACTTCTGTTTCTTTCAATCAATTAGTGTGTACTTGCACAAAACTCTTGACAGATGGTTGGTGTAATAATGGATGTTTTCAGTCAATTAATGGGATGGCTGACAGTGCCACTTTAAAAAGCATCCTCAGATTAAACGGTTAAAATTTGTCAATGTTGACCAATTCTTCTCGCTCAAAGCACAAACGTTTAGGCAAGTTAGATGCTTTATTACAGGGTTACTCCAACTCTTTTTAAAAATGCAGCTATATCAAAATGAAATGCCCTATTGTGCATTACTGATTATTTCCCAACATGCTCCTTTAAATACAGCGAATATACCGTTAAACTTAGCTGCAGTCTCGGCAAAACTCCTGGCTCTCCTTATGCCCCAGCCCTGACTGTCTGTGGCTGTCCAATCACAGACTCCCTAATGCTGCTCAATGATAAGTCTTTCCAAGACAGGTGCTCTGGGCAATTGCTGCCTCTTAAGTTTAATTCAACTGAACTAACAAAACCAGGAAGTAACAGAACCTGTTGTCTGATTGACAGCCAGGGGGTATAACCAATATAACTTACACAAGTGTAAATTTCTAAGTAAATCTGCACTTTTTGTAAAATAATGAGAAAATACTCTTCACCCATAAAGTTTTTCAGCAAGCTATAGCACTTTAGGGGTCTGAAGTGTCCATTTAAAGGAATAACAAACAAACAAAACAAAAAACAGTGAGATATAAGATCACAGGTTGTAGAGAGTGACACAATTTTTCTGGCTCAAGATATTCTGTGTAGCCCACTGGACAATAAAGCAAAGTCTTGCTCATTGTATTACAGTGAATATTGTATACATTTTTAGGAAGAAAAAAATAAATAAAAAAGTATTTCTGTCACCTTTTTCTGAATGTGAGTTCTTTTAAGCCTCAGAATGTCACAGTTCCGACATGGAAATATATAAATTATATAACTCACTCAAATACTGTATCATTTTAGGATTTTATCATGATTATGATTTTATTTCAATTAGGAGTAATTTATAAAGCAACACACAACCCATGGGGCCCTGGTGCGAAAACGGATACCCCCCCCCGCGCAGAGTACTTACTCTGCGCGGGCCGGGGCCGCAACAGATGGCGGCGGGCACCTGGTCGCAGGGGTCGTAGGGCTGCGACCGCGGTATGTACACCAATGCATGCAGATACACATACACTTAAAGGACCACTACAGCCACCCAGATCACATCAGCTCAATGAAGTGGTCTGGGTGCCAGGTCCCTTTAGTTTTAACCCTCTAGCTGAAAATATAGCAGTTTCAGAGAAACTGCTATGTTTCACTGAGGGTTAAATCCAGCCTCTAGTGGCTGTCTCACAGCCGCTAGAGGAGCTTCTGCGATTCTCACTGTGAAAATCACAGTGAGAAGATGCTGAACGTCCATAGGATAGCATTGAGCAATGCTTTCCTATAGGCGGTTTGAATGCGCATGCGGCTCTTGCCGCGCATGCGCATTCAGAGCTGAGAGGTGGATCGGGGCGGAGGGATCCCCAGCGCCAAGGGAGTCCGGGGCTGGAGAAAGGTAAGTGCTGAAGACACACACTCTCACGAACAGACACATACACACTAGCTAACAGACACACACATTTACTGACAGACAAACACTCACTGACAGACAGACACACACACTTTTTATTTTTTTTTTAAATATAACCCCCCAGCCTCCTTACCTGTGGGAGAGCTGAGGGGATTCCCTGGGGTCCAGTGGTGTCACCCGGCAGGCAGGCTGGCGGGTGCGCAAGGGAGCACTCTCCCCTGAGTGCTTCCTGTTCAGCTCCCTCGCGCGCCGCGTACTGATGCCGGAGCCGGAATATGACGTCATATTCCGGCTCCGGTATCAGTGCGGTGCGCGACGGAGCTGAAGAGGGAGCACTCAGGGGAGAGTGCTCCCTTGCACACCCACCGGGTGACACCAGGGCCAGCCTCGGGCCCCCCAGGATAAGAGGCTGGCCACTCTGGGTACAGACCGGGTCGCAGGGCCGCAGCCGCGACTCCGGTATGTACGCCACTAACGGGTGAATGACACCTCTAAATAACAGTAATCAAATAAGTTTAGCCTAGAGCAGGGGTGCCCAAAAGGTAGATTCCCCAGATGTTTTAAAACTACAGCTTCCATGATGCTTTGTCATTCTAAAGCAGTCTAAAAGACATGAATTGTAGTTCTAACACATCTAGGGATCGTTTTGGCCACCCCACGCCTATAAGAACAGGTGAAGCCATTCATATTGCTTTATGAAAACTGTGGAAAAATCAAAAGTCAGCAACATTGTCTAGCTACCGAGTGCATTCATTGTACCCTGGTCTTACGTTAACAAACTGTGAAGCCTTGCGTTCTATGTCCATTTCGCTTGTTTATTTTTACAGGCGTTTCCAGTTCTGACAAGGTTTGATTTATGTCATGTTCCTGGAGCGTTTAATAACGCTTTGCTAATAAATAATATGACAAATCTGATGTAACTAGTTCAAGACAAAACATTTAAAACCCAGCTCCGTACATTTAAAAAAATGTCATGAACAGAAATACATCTAAAACGGAAGATGTAGTCCACAATTGATGTAGTGCGTAAAGTTAGCCAACACTTCTTTTGTACATAACCTTAAATTATTACAATGAAAAGTGCCAGCACTGGAGGGAAAGTGATGTTTGGCTTTACATGAAACACTTTGTGGGAAAAGATGTTCCAAAACTCATAGCCTTAGATGCCTATTAAGCAGGACAAAATACCATGGCTGTTTTCAGGCAGCATGCTACATATTCCTAAAACATTCTGTTGGTTTCCATAGCGATTCCTCCTTACCTACTTACTTGTCATCTGATTCTAGTTTGATATAATAAAAACAAGACAGCACGAGTTCTACAGTCTCAGACATGAAGCTCAAGCATATCAGGATATAGGATATAAATCCCATCAAGATGTAGCAATAAATCAGGGGCAGGTAACATCTGCACCTGTTTGGTGAATTATCACCATGTCTAGTGGAGGATGATGGCGTTCAGTGTACTCCGCACACAGGTATAAAAGACATACAAAGGTCCAAGTGGGTTATACAAAAGGAAGATCATCAAATAAGTCTTTTTTAAACCCCCCCCCCCCCAAAAAAAAAACAAAAAACCCAGCTCTCAGCACAATGGGTGCACGAACATAAACTAAGGACCAGGGGGAATGTTACAGTCTGTAGCCCAAAGTCAAAAACTCCAACCCACAGTTACTGACATGTAGATAAAGTGTGCTGAAGGATGAATCATTCTATAGAGGTCTTCAATCTAGTAAAGTTGTAAGACTGCAAAATGACACAGAACCCATCAGAGGAGTTTAACTCTGAAAGGGTTATTTACTAACATGATAATTCAGCGTGAATTTCACATTTAACCCCTTACGGACACATGACGGAAATATTCTGTCATGATTCCCTTTTATTCCAGAAGTTTGGTCCTTAAGGGGTTCCTTAAGGGGTTAAGGTCGAGATAGCTGGACCAGAAATAGACTCCAAGTCCGCTATGCTCTGGCTACTCTGGCCTTAAATTTGAATTCTCACTTTGGTGAATAACCTTGTTAGAGTGACACAGACTGGGTAAGGCTTTTGAAAGGTCCTGCAGGGCCAAACCATGACATTTACTTGTTATTGTAATATAAACATTTGAAACCATTCTTTGAAGTGCAATTTGCTTTGAAATATTGGAAACAAAGTATTTGATGGAAAATCTGTAAGCAGTCTCTTACTGTATGATTTTATTTTATTTTTTAAAACAAGCTCTTTTTGTACTATTTGAGGCAAGCATTGGTTTAACGAGAGAACAGGAAAACCTCAGTAATTGTGCGCTGTATTGATATGGGTTCCTTAATATGCAATTATCACAGCTTTACAATTGTATTTATAACAAGAGTGCTTGAATTTCTTTTTAATCGTAATAACAAGCCTCTTACTTGTAACTTGATAAATATTTGGGATTTATTTTGTTCCAAGCTGCTACATGTATCCCGTGGGAATAAAAGACGTATATTTTAATGAATACTTAATTGATCCAATGTATATTTTGAACAGTTTCTTTTGCGCTTGAGCTCTCTGTGATGTCACTTTAAACGATGGATTGATACAATGGAGTATAATGAACTTTGTAATGAAGATTTCACTTTGCATTCCACAGAAGTTTAAAAAGAAACTATAAAATGTTAATTTACAAAAAATAAAAATAAAGTTGCTATACATGTCCAATTGACTGCAGTTTATAAGTGTAAATATGTCAGCATGTTAAGTGATCTGTACATCAGAACATAGTTTCAGTCCCAGCAGGGACTTTCATCATTTAAATCTTCAAAGTCAGAGAGTGCTGATCACTACCTACATTTATTTACATTTTCCTGGATTTCAAGCACCCGACAAACAGTCTACCAAGTGTGAGTGCAAGGACTTTCTACATTTTGAGATATATACACACACACACACACATAAAACAAAACAAAAAAAAGGTAATAGTTATTTTCCAAAATAAATGAGGTTTTTGGTACCACTGCAGTGGCCATTCGGTGGCTCTCACCCCCCCTTAAAATGTGATGCAAATCATGAAAGACTGTGTTGAAATTTCATTGAAATTTTAATGCAGTCAAAAGATAAGGGACGACTTTGTGTTATGGTAAAATCCTAACTTGACAAAATGTGAAGCTTTCACAGTCAAGTTTTGTCACTGTAATAAGGTTATTATGTCACTCATCGCAAGATAATATCTATGGCGGTTCCTGCATCCTTGGGGGGATCCTCCATAGACATCAGTGGTTTTTTTACGTTCACTTGTGCTAAAGATCCCAATGCAATGGCAGGGGACAGAATCAGGTGTGTACACTCACCTCTGCTGACCTCCAGGATGCCAATCAGCAATGTCACCAACAGGGGTCTTTGCAAAATAAGCAAAGACCCCACAATGTGATAGCGCTGCTTAAAGTGGGAAGTGTAAGCATCTAAATTTAGCCATACACTAACAATTCACCTTAAAGGCAAAATCTCTAATGAGACAGAAGTTCATCTGTACAAACTAATTAAAGCTAAATAGGGCACACGTGAGGCAGGCAGCTGCAATGTAACATGGCTGTGTAATACCACCACCACAAATAAAAGCACAAATAGCCATGGGCTCCAACTCCCAATACTCTTGGGAGATGGTGTTTGCTGTAGTATTCAAATGCATAGACAATACAAAACCAAAAATGTTACCGGCGCATATGTTATCTCAGCTGCCACCATCAAGGCACATTACAAGGTACGAATGAATTATGTCAAGTGAAATGTTATGAGAGGTCTTTGGGATTGCAATGCAGGTCGTATTGAAATTTAGTGCTTTTTTTTTTAATATATATTTTCACAAAGATTGGTAACTACATACTAGCAAACATAGCCACACATGTACACTGCCTCTTGATTCAATAACTTATCATTGGGACTTGAAGCAAAATACTGTAAATGAGGCATAAAACACCAAGTCGCTAATGCCTCGTTTCCAGTGAGTGGATCGGTTCGGGTCAGTACAGTTTGGAAGGTTTAGAATGGTCCAGCTTTTTCTGGTGAGCGTTTCCACTGTAAGTCAGACCTTCAGGGGCCATGCAGGGTTTAGAAAAAATGCTCTTCCTGTCCACCAATCAATTGATTGTATAGTAGCTCCGCCCTAACCAAACCCTGCCATTTCCTATGGCCCTACATCTGAAGCAGGACCCTGAATGGTGCGGTACGGTTCGGTTGTATGGGCCACTTTCATAATGGAAACACTCAAAAGAGCGAACCGAACTGAGCCGATCCACTCAGTGGAAACGAAGCATTAAAGGACCACTATAGTGCCAGGAAAACAAACTTGTTTTCCTGGCACTTTAGTGTTAATAGGTCCCCCCTCCCACTCTCAGGGCCCCCCTCCCACTGGGCTCTAGGGGGAGGAAGGGGTTAAACACTTACCTTTCTCCAGCGCCGGGCTGCCTTGGCGCTGGGGACTCTCCTCCCTCTTCCGACGAATGCGCATGCACAGCAATAGCCGTGTGTGCTTTCAATCAGTCCACGGGAAAGAATTTCTCAGTGCTTTCCTATAAACGCAAGCGTCTTCTCACTTTGAAAATCACAGTGAGAAGCGCGGAAGCGTCTCTAGCGGCTGTCAATGAAACAGCCACTAGAGGCTGGATTAACCCATATGTAAACATAGCAGTTTCTATGTTTACAGCTTCAGGGTTAACCCTAGATGGACCTGGCACCCAGACCACTTCATTGAGCTGAAGTGGTCTGGGTGCCTATAGTGGTCCTTTAATACTACAGTATATTTTGGATTAAACATTTTCCTTAAAGTATATCCTACCTGTCAGATCAGAATACAAAAATAAGTCCTATTTTTGTTTAATTTGTTTAATATTTGGGAGGTTTAGGTCTTTTTACTAAAAATCAAAAACACTGTCTGGGTTATTCACTAAATGTGGTATTGTAACAAATTCAAACCTAAATGGCAAAATCCAGTAGCAGATTTGACAAAAATGTATCAAATTCACTTATAGTCAAAGATCGGTTATTTCAGTGTAAATTTTGTCATTTGGATTGAAATGTCCTACATTCCATAGTTTGTTAAATAACCCTGTTTTTGGGCTTCATTCACTAAACATTATCAACGTTATACACCAAAGCACTGGCATTACTAGGGGGTGTGGACCACACCAGGTTACACCATCAGAGGGGGTTGACACTATCTTAAGGCAACAGAGGTGGACATCTTAGGTCCCCCTGGCCCATGCACAGGATGCTGTGGCCCCTCAAAGATCTCTCACACCAGCCCACTGCATGGGACTCAGAGGCCTACTGGTCCTACCTTTGTCATGTGAAGACATTGCATATCCCTCGCGCAAGCTTTGACAATATCATGGTAACCCATGTCAATGCTCAGACACTGAGAGCTGGAAGTCAAAACAAGAATATACAAGGTCTGCACCCAGAGAAGGTGCAAGCCAGAAAAGCTGTACACTGCACCAATAGGGATCTCATATGGTTTTGTAGGGAATGTGGTCCATGGGGAGTAACACCAGGAATCACCTCAATAGGTGACACCAGCCATTTTGATGTTGCTGACTCAAGTATGAATCCAAAGTGAATTTCACAATTTAGGCCAACGTACCTGAACCTGAGGTAAAGGAGACTTGAAACTCACTTTAGTGATTAACCTTTCAAATTATAGTGAAATGTAATCAGAATACCACCTTTAGTAGAAAAAAAAAAAGTGGAAAAATAATATTTAAATGAGCTATAATCTGGTTTTGTTTTGGATAAGCAATCTGGATTTAATTTCAGTGCAAATCAAACTTTTGTATCAGAAACACAGTACAATACATTCTTAATGCAACAGAGCCATCTACTGGAAGATGAAGAAAAAAATGTTTTAAGAAGATTAAATTAAGTTTAGACACATTTGATGCCTGTTAAGGAACCGCCTGGTCACCTAGGACGCGTACATGTCTACCCATCTGCCACACCTCTCCTAAAATACGATATGCACTACTAATTGCCCCTCCAGCCCGTACCTCCCAGTCCAGCACCCCTTCCTAGCAGCTCAGGAGTCTTGCTGTACAGACCAGGGATTCGCTGAGGCATGGCGGTCCTGACCGTGAGCAGCCCTAAAACTCTATGGAACTCTGGAAACACTGGCGACTCCGTGATTCGCTAAAACTTCACCGAGGGCGCTCTCGGTCCCAGGACCAGCAGTTAGGCCACTTTTTGGAGGGATGCTAGAGGGAGTGGCAAGGCACTAAATGACACCAAGGACACGGGGGAGCTCCATGTACTCACAGAAAGCACTGTCCTTTAAGGTGACCACAAAACCATACTCAGCATCACTAAACTCTGGGCCGGATCGCAGGCTAGCACTGACCCACAAAAAATTGGACTTTCACCTAACTTGATCTAGCCACATCTGATCTGAGCCCTTTCTGGACTAAGTGGGTCCTCTCACCCAAGCTTCCTGGAGACACTGGTTGTGTGGGGGGTGTGGGTATAGGAACAAAATCAATATGGTATTTTGTACCCTGGTGCCAATGTGTCTGGCCACTAAATAAGTTACCAGCTCAAGCACAGACACCAAGGTGCCGGGGCTGTTGCAGTTGTATTTTTTTCCCTGGGGACCTCCTATTGAGACACCAGGTATAAAAGGTGACATGGCCACTAGCCGTGCTTCCTGAGTCAGTGCTACACAATGTGCAGCACTAAAGTTCAGAGGCTGATCTTTCCCCATAAAGATGCATTGATTCTAATATCAAGATACCATATAGCAGCTCATGAACATTCTGTTGGTCTGAAAATCCCACTCTCTGGCCAAAGAATGGTGATGCAAGTAGGAAGCAAACTGATACAGGATTCCTGCCCTTAATTCCTCAAACATTTTTACTTCTGCATTTACTCCTGTTTGGTACAAGATAACACAAAGTTAATGTGTACAGAATGTTACATTAAAAATATATATATATAGATTTTTTTTTCTGTTCTCTAACAGCTTCCCTACACACTTCCTGAAAAAAACCCTGAAATCTTGTAACTTCCCTTATTTTGCAGTGTACTAGAATAAACTGTTGGGTGTAGTGCTGTTGTGGTTATGATGCCAAGAGCATTCCCTCATTGTAAGAAGTCAAAAAAAAAGTCTGACTCTAACTAGAATCTGCCAGGTGCTGTTCCCTACCTCCAATGAAGCCTCCTCAGATTTTTGCTCTCAACCAATAAGCAAAGCCCTGTATTGCCATTAGCTCCCCAGCTGCTGAAAAAAAGGCAGGCATAGCACTGGGGCACCCTGGCTTTAAAGTCAAATTCTTCTAAAATGCTTTGACTACTGGCAAAGGGGAGCAGCATAACCATTATAGAGCTTGTTACTTTAAAAGGGACTATCAAGGCAACAAAAATGGAAAATAAAACGTTTTTAACTGCAGGCTCTACCTGTTACTTACTGCTGAAAAAATGTACATCTCAAGACATGTTGTAAGCCGCGAAACCATATGGCAGTGGCTAACCTTTCACTTGTGTCCATTAATTTTGTTTACATTTATTTTTAATGTTATGTCACAAAGTATATACATGCTTTGAATGGCGACACATCCGTTCTGGAATACATACATTTAATGGAGGCAAGCCCTTCACAAATTAAAAAAATACACAGGTGATATTCAACAATATAGCACAGTGCAAAAAGAAAAAAACAAAACATGATACTTTGGGAATCTAAGAATTAATAAGGCATCATTTTACTGTAATTTGCATGTCATAATACTTTTTCTGTTCTAAATATGAACACGTGGAAGTGACGTTATTTTCATCATGCGTAGTGTTAAAACAGGTTTCAGTATTCTGCAGAACAAGTGTATTAGTAGAACCAAACAATATTTAATCCATTGACAAGGAACTGTTAAATGTTATTTAAGTGAAAACATCAGAAATGAAAAAAAAGTTTGGAGAATTTAGCAGAAATATTTATGTTCTTACCAAAAAAAACAAAAAACAAAAAAGAAACATGTTAACGCCCATAATAAATGACACAACTTTAGAAAATTCACATAACTGCATGAAAAAAAAAAAAAAAAAAAAATCCTGATTTTTCAGACAATACAACTATTTACAGAGAAAATAAAAACAAGAAAATTGAGCCATTTGTTATCCTCTTTTTGTTAAATGTTTTTTTAAATTGTAAGTTTGAAATAAAACCAGAATTATTTTAGAATGAGGAGCAAGTGCAGATTTAGAAGGCACAGTCAACTAGACAAACTTTAAAACTAAACAAATAGCGTTACTGGTTTAGTTCCCGTTATCAGTTTGTGCATACATTTGAGGCCTCACTACTAATTTTGTCTTCAATGCATGTTGACAACAAATATTGTACCATATTTCTGCCTCATTGTGTTGTTCTATGTAACTTTGACAAGATTTCAATGAAAGTTATAAAGAATATATAACCATGATATATATAAACAAATATACATATTTATTGCACTCACATTAAAGAATATATAGGGTGTCAGGTGCAAACAAATGATGGTGCCAGTGTTTATTTGGACAAGAGCTTGCACTTGCGAGACTGTGACAGTGTCTTTCAAACCCGTCTTCTGGTTCCATTAAGCCAGATTGAATAAAACCTTCACTGGCATCTCAGTGACAAGGAATGCAGCAAATGTGTCATTAAAATCCTCTGTAAATTAAATTGAATTATTTTTTTTAAATTGTGTTGTGACTTGTATATGCTGATCTGCCTAAACCTCGTGATCAAAATACTAAAAAAAAAAAAGTTGTACTTCTATATATTATTATGTAATGTTTTATTCCACTCCGATTTTTTTTTTTTTTTTTTTTAAAGTGTATTTAACCTATGAAATAAATTCAATTGTACGGCAATATTAGCGTTTAACAATGTAGCTCGATAACAACAAAATTGAATGCACCCAGTTTATTAATTATCTAGACCCTCTATATATAAAGTCACTGATCGCCTCCTCAATGTAGATTACACTCACTGACCAGATTCACTCTTTAATGGGGTGCAGGAGGTAAGTTCTAACAAGGATTAAAACATTAAGGCATTCTCTGTTGAAGGTGCTTGCTTGTCACTGTCTCCCAATGTTTTCCAGCACAGTAAAGTGAGATTGATAAATGAAGCTCTGGAACGGGTTGGGGAGAAATTAATGCTTTTTACAATGGAAAACATAATTTAATACAAATAACAGTCAATGTAACTGAAAAGTACAAACGGTCAGTGATTGTAATTAACGCTCACAACGCACATATTTCAAGGCAGATTCGCTGCTCTTTTTGTTGCAGTGTATAGTTTTAGTGCATACGTTTCTATTTCTACAGTATCAATTTACTAGTATTTTATTACACACACTTTAAGCTTTTTGTCTGCACCGGTACTTTCTAGTTAAGTGGCGAAATTCTTCTATTTAATGTTTCGCTTTCAAAAATTAACTGCAAACGTATCCATTTTCCAAGCAACAATAGACTCTCGTGCAACAAAATGTCCTCTTTAAACATGATGTATAATCAGTGAAACGGCATACATTTCTTCCCTAAAGAAAATATACAACAGGACAGTCAACTAAGTGCAACATGGAGTAAACGGTTAAAGCTACGAATGATAAATGTCACTTTGGTTTAAGCAGTGACCCATAGCTGTATCAGTTCCACAGTTCTATACAGCAGAAAGGAACGGGGAAAAGAAAAAATCAAAAGCAAACTTAATGGCTGTATGCACGTTACGCCGCCAGTCGTGTTCAATTTTCACATGTCTTGATGCAGGAGTAAGTTTGGCCATGCAATTTAGGCAACTGATGGCTTTCAGCTCAAACACTGGCCACTTACTGCCAAGTCGACCTTCCAGAATGGTACTAAATTCTATCATGCTGCCTTGTCTCAGGTTCAGTAACACCGTTTTGAACTCATTACTTGCTTTTAGCACTATATCTTTTGTAATGTCATCTTCTTCACTCTTGTTACCATTTTTGCCGTTAAGAGGCATACCCACACTTATCTCAAATTTGTACCGATCAAATTTTTTCATGTGGCACTTGTGTTTAGAGAGAAATTTGAGGCGACAGAGTTCCTCTTCTTCTATTGTAACATCTTGTGGTTCACAGGCTGGATATACTTCACCGTATAGGCATCGCATCCAATCACCAATTAAGAGAGGGAGCATGTTTACAGCCGACTCTGCGCTATTGTCAATTTCAGTAACACGAACATACTTGAACCTGCCTGTCCAGGTAACCCGATGGCCTTCCAAATGGCTGCACAAAATTTGGGTTCGTGCCATGTTGGTTTCCTTCCAAGCCCTGGGTCCACATACAAATCCATACTGCTGCCATGTTAAGGTGGAGTTGTAAACTTTCATTCCTTCAGAGCGATAAACATAAATCCAACAAAACATTACAATAGCAGTGATCCATACCAATATTAGCTTTACGATAGAGCTCCTAGTGAGCGATTTAACCATTCCAAGCAAGGAATAGTTGGCCTTTGACCACCAGCGAATAAGCAGAGGGATGGTGCACAAAACCACAGTAACCATGATCTTGGTAATTTCTAACGCTATAAACCACCTTATGAAATGGACAACACACATCACAGCAATGCCCACCAAGAGTATAGGGAGAGCAAATAGGAAAAGGAAATAGCCTATAGATGCACGTATAAGGCCAATGGCCGTAGATTGCCGAAGGATTACAACAGACAGTTCACACCACATGAAACACACTAAATATGGCACCAGGTAACAATAGACACCTTTGAAATTCCTTAACCGTGCCATCCTAAAGAAGAGATAGAATAAGTATATGAATAGAATACATGGGAGGCTTAGGCGAAATATGATAAAGTGACCTATGGGCACAGTGAAAAACGTTTTGCCAAGTAGCTGAATATAGGACAAAGATTCAGGCATGATATCCACAAGAGAAAGCAATCCAGCAGCCACTTCAGTCATCAGTGCTCTCCTGGTATATGGTTCTGCGCATGTACTTAAGCTTAAGTAGCTGGTGATCGTAAAGAAAACAGAAATGGTGGCCAGTTCTGAGCAAGGAATCCAGTGCCTGTCTGAAATTGGAAAAGAAAATATCACAAAGAAAACAGACATGAGGAAGTAAAAATATGGCTCCAAGTGATTCCAACCAAAGTTGACTTCAGCCTGTTCAACATCCAAATTTGGTTCAAACCGAAGTAAAAGGTCAGTGAATGTGCGAAAGTGTTCCCAGGCCTTACTGTCTTGGAATACCTTGAGTGTGCAAATCACCATGGAGATAAAAGACAAGTAGAAAATGACTAGAGGAATAAAAAAGGCAAAAAAATCTATGGTAAGGTTACTGATAATAAAGAAAAAGATAAGGGCATTGATGTGATGTGTTGGCACAATCGTTGACAGCCAATGCATTCCGGCCTTAGATGCTACATCAATAAGGTACTCTTTAAGTTCGGTGATGACGTGGAGTGGATATTTCATGATCTAGGAAGAAGACAAAGACAATGAAAGGCATGTTAACATTTTATTGAGAAAACATGTTAACTTACTAATTAGCATAATTAGAATTGTGCTCATTTATGAATGGCTATATATCAACAAGGAAACCTACAATAAATTTAAGTCAGGCTGGCCAAAATGTCCATCACCAGAGATGTCCTAAAGGTAGATTTCAGAATGACAACCTCTGGAAAAGCATCATGTAGTAGTACATGTATTAAAATATTACACCATATATCGATTTCAAGCAAGAAAGTAGAATGAGGTTTCCCAATTCAGTACATATACCTTCTTTTGAAGGGGTAATTCTTCCGGACTTTTTCCGGAAAACTCATCATCATCGTCGTCATGTAGAAATAAGTGGGTCGGGACGATGCCTTTTGCATACTTTTTTGTGATTTCAACGAAATCATCCAGCTCAATGTGGCTTTTAGCTGAAACATTGAAAGATTAAAACAATAGACAAAAGTGAAGATTGTTCTTGAAAATGATTGTTACTATAACCCTGTGTCAAGTCACTCAGCACAACATAATTATAGTGAAATAAATACAAGCTGTAATGGGGGGTGGGGGCACACAGAGTAATTTTATCATCAAGTGGAATACAGATCTGGCCTGAAATATAGATACACAGGCAGACCATAGTGTGGTATATTACCGTTTGTAATTAAAAGATTGACTTTTTAAGATCACATCAAATTAGAAGTTACAAAACATGTGCCAGTACACACAAAATTTAAAGGAACCTCCTGTTACCCATGCACTCCTCCCAAAAAAAAAAAAAAACAACTGTTTAATGTATTAAATGGACATTGTAAGCATATTAAAAAAAACTAAAAAATACAAAATACAAAATTCCCAGAAAACTTTAAAAAAAAAAAAACTAAAAAACTTTAAAGATTTAAATTTGATTTTGGTATATACACACACACATAAAAAATAAATAAAAATAAAATACTGGCACTCCCAATAGTGGAATTTCTAAATGTTTCTTCTTTATGTCAGCGTTAGATTACATAGGGTGTTTAGTGTTTAAAGAATCAAAAACTTGAGAGGGGTTAGAGTTTTTGTATAAGGGGTGTTCAGAATAATTGGGTTTAGTGTTAGAGTAAACTAAAGAGAATAGGAAGAAAGAAATCAGCGCTAGATTGCCACACAAGAAAATAATAGTAATAAGGCTGCACTCCTCAAAGGGGAGTCCCCAATAATCCCCTAGTGGTAAGATGAAATACAAAAACATAACAGTAAAATAAGGTTGCGCCTAAAATATACAGTAAAACATATAAAATATATAAAATATTAATGTAAAATAAATAGTTGGCAGTAATCCAAAACACTTATCATAAGTCCGTAATGGTAGGTGCCATGTATGGAAACAGGGATTCTGAGATGGTAAGTGGAGTAGGTCTTCACAATTATGTGCTTGAGATCCAGTAGAGCATATGTAGAAAAAGAACAGAAACAGGACTCCAATGGCACAATATATAGATGAATAAAATAAAAAAAATAAAAAATAGTCTTACTCACACTTTTCAGAGCTAAAACCTAGCTCTGATATTGCGCACGTGAAGTGGAATAATCCCCACTCAAGGATATGCGGAGTAATATTTTGATTGGCGAATATCTGGCTCAAATTCGGCGTCCGAATTAGTGTTATTCGACCCAGGGAAAAAATAAATAAAATATAGTGCTCTCTGTATAGTAATTAAAAGTTGTAAAATATACTACTCACATTATTTAAAGCAGGTTTATACTGCTCAGTGTAAGCGCTTGGGTGGTATAATCCCCACCTATGGATTCTTTAGGCTTCTCGTAAAATATGCAGTATGTGTATAGTCAGGTGAAAAAAGAAAGAAAATGGCAATAAAGTATTTTATGCCAAAATAATTTCTTTATTATAAAGTAGTAAAAATAGTATCTAAACACGTTTCGCCTCAAGGGCTTCTTCAAGTAGATAATAGTAAAAAAGGGAACACACCTGACATGCAAAGGTTTATATAAGATACAATAATGCTATGGAATTTTGAAATTCCCACCAAAATGACGTCAAACACCATAATATTAAAACACAAATCAAAACAATGAATAAAACAGATAATATGAGGTAGGTACAATGATTAAAATTCTAAAACGAGGGTTATAAAAGGTTATAAAATACATTGGAAAAGCGATCACGTGACGCGCGGCTAAAACCACTTCCGCGCCACGTGATGCTCTATGAAACGCATGCGTTCCGTCTGAATGGAACGCATGCGTCGTCAGGAGGTGGGAGGGCTGTCTCATCTGATCGGCAGGAGTATAGAAGGCAGAAATCAGGCTGTCTGCCTGCACGAGCAGGCAGACAGCAATAGGGACAGCACTGGCACATGAAACATGCTGTCTGCCTGCATAAGCAGGCAGACAGCTGTCCTAGCAGTATTCAAGTTCAAAGCCCAAAGTGGGCAATAATAACAACTTATTTTTAATAAATTACACAGAGTAAAGAATAATTTTGATTGGATATTGAAAAATAATAAAAAAAAAATATATTAGTATTAAAAATAATAGGAATAATAAAAAGAAGAAAGATACACATAAGAGCTGTTATAAACATACAGACATTTTGAGTGTATATAAACAAGAGATAGAATGGTAAGAAGAATAATAAAAATAAAATTATATAAATATATGTAATATATAATAAATATAAGGAATCTAAGATTAATTATTTATTATAAAAAATTAAAAAGATCAAAATCAATATTTAGCCCTGTGGGGGCAAGGGTTTTTAGATTCTATGCCCATTCCATTTATTTTTTACCTAAAACTTTTTTAATATCTCCTCCTCTCCATGGGACATTGCAAGTGTCTATACCGATACATTTAAGATATTTTTGATTTTTTCCATGTTGTAGAAAATGTTTTGAGACTGAATGATTCTCGTAACCTTTTAAAATATTTCTACAGTGTTCAGCTAGTCTTGTTTTTAAATCCCTAGTGGTCATACCCACATACTGAAGCCCACAAGGACATTCCAGAAGATAGATTAAGTTTTTCATATTACAGTGAATAAAATGTTTTATTTGATATGTTTTCTGTGTGATTGTTGATGTAAACGATGTAGTTTTAGATCTAATAGTATCGCTAGTACGTTTACAGACTATACATCTGTTACACTTAAAAAACCCGCTAGGTTTAGTTAAAAAGGTAGAGGGGCTAGGGGATAAAGTGCTTTGCTTATATTTAGTGTAATTACTTGTAAGAATAGACTTAAAGCTGGGTGCCCCTCTAAATAGAACGTGTGGTTTCTCAGGGATAATTCCAGCCAAAGTATCATCTTGTTTTAATATATGCCAATGTTTTTTTTTTTTTTATCTTCTTCATAACATTACTTTTGTTATTGAAGTTTGTTATTGAAGTCAAAAATGATTGGCAATATTGGAGCGGTTTTAGCATCAGATTTCTGCCTTCTATACTCCTGCCGATCAGATGAGACAGCCCTTCCACCTCCTGATTGAGCATCACGTGACGCGGAAGTGGTTTTAGCCACGCGTCACGTGATCGCTTTTCCAATGTATTTTAAACCTTTTATAACCCTCGTTTTAGAATTTTAATCATTGTACCTACCTCATATTATATGTATTTACTGAAATCTATGTTTTATTCATTGTTTTGATTTGTGTTTTAATATTATGGTGTTTATGACGTCATTTTGGCGGGAATTTCAAAATTCCATAGCATTATTGTATCTTATATAAACCTTTGCATGTCAGGTGTGTTCCCTTTTTTACTATTATCTACTTGAAGAAGCCCTTGAGGCGAAACGTGTTTAGATACTATTTTTACTACTTTATAATAAAGAAATTATTTTGGCATAAAATACTTTATTGCCATTTTCTTTCTTTTTTCACCTGACTATACACATACTGCATATTTTACGAGAAGCCTAAAGAATCCATAGGTGGGGATTATACCACCCATGCGCTTACACCAAGCAGTAGCCTGCTCTAAATAATGTGAGTAGTATATTTTACAACTTTTAGTTACTATACAGAGAGCACTATATTTTATTACTTTTTTTCCCTGGGTCAAATAACACCAATTCGGACGCTGAATTTGAGCCAGATATTCGCCAATCAAAATATTACTCCGCATATCCTTGAGTGAGGATTATTCCACTTCACGTGCGCAATATCAGAGCTAGGTTTTAGCTCTGAAAAGTGTGAGTAAGACTATTTTAATTTTATTATATTATTTTATTCATCTATATACTGTGCCATTGGAGTCCTGTTTCTGTTCTTTTTCTACATATGCTCTACTGGATCTCAAGCACATAATTGTGAAGACCTACTCCACTTAACATCTCAGAATCCCTGTTTTCATACGTGGCACCTACCATTACGGACTTATGATAAGTGTTTTGGACTACTGACAACTATTTATTTTACATTAATATTTTATATTAAATTTTATATATTTTACTGTATATTTAAGGCGCAACCTTATTTTACTGTTCTGTTTTAGTGTTAGAGTAGTTTACATTCACTACTGGGGTATTTCATTTATAAAAAGGTTTTTGTTCCCTAGTGTTAGACTTTGAGTGCTTAAAAGTGTGACTAAGTAAAGAGTTTGTTTAGGTTTCAGGAGGGGGTAAATGCAGGGTTCTGGAAAGAGGGGTGTTTAAGACACAAGCATATGGAGCTTGTGGGGTTATTTGCTAAATTATTGATAAGATGAATAATAGAGATGCAAGAGGGGTTATACAGGGTGCATCACTCAGTGATGTCCCTACGCCTCCTGCAATACATTTCCTGAGTGAGTGGCCGTTAGTGGGCGGATTGAAAGTTACCCTTCCACTTCCTGTTGAGCCTCAGACGCAGACACTGGAGGGGATGGGAAGAGTCTTACATCCTCGATAACTGTGCCTGCAGCACTGCTATAAAAGCCTAGGAAGCAGACTAGACTACACTGGATACTGGCCACGGGTCCTGGTACATAGTCCGCTACTAGCCCACTTTAGCTCCAAAAAGGCACATTATAAATGCTGTAAATATGCGCCTCTAGGCAGGTACCAACTCCTCCTAATGGGAAACCTGGCCCTGACTCTTGGATGTAGTAACTCCCTTCAGACATCACATCAAGATTATATTATCAGTTTTTCAGAAAATAAATAATTAGAGTAAAATATATCCCAAACTATCCAGCACATTTACTGTGATAAACAATAGGGTGACTCTAGACTCTACTCACGTTCACAACTAACTAAACGTTCCAACATCCGGCGCTGCTTCTGTGTAGCCTTTGGAACTGGGCCTGACTGATTTACAGCATCTGAAACAGAAAATCAGAGACCCGAATAAGGGTTCAGTCGGATCACCCAAATTTACTTCTAGATAAATAATAAAACAATATAGAAAGTGTACTTTGAAAGGAAACTCATAGAACCATTACAACTTTGCATAATTTTCACAGAATGCACCAAGCCTCCTCTGGCAAATTGATGCAGTTCTAAGCAATTCTCCAATTTAGCAAATAGTAAAAAGTATTCTTTTTATTGTTGTCATGCACAAATACCGATTTGCGATGAAATTAATAAACATGTTCGGTCCTACTAGTATAAAGACTAATTTGCACTGTACTACACCAGTCGAACACAATAATAACCTCCAAGTTAACTTTAACCAGGTTTGTGGACAGTCACAAGCTCAAATTACAACGTTCTTATTTTGTAGCAATGTATTGCTGGATTCATGTCTAGTTTTAGAGATATCAGGATCCGGGTTTAAACTACCTCTATCGTGGCATACTGTTTGTAAACTAGACCACACCAGTTATTTCACATAAAGGTATCGAGTCTTTCATTAGGCCATCTAAGCAACATAAACAGAGGCAATGCCAGATTAGTGGACAATGTCTGTGTCACTACATTGAGGTGCCAAACATCAATAAAACCAATACCTGTCTGCCATTTTCTCCAGGCGTGAGCAAGTCATCCACAAAAAACACCCAATCTCATGCAAATAATTAAAATTAAATAAAATGTATAAAAAAAATAAAAATAATAAGAAATTATTGGTTGTCGCCAAGGTTAGATCACTTATGTCCGACCTGTCACTAAAACGTCTTTTTAAACACAAACTATAAAGCAATTGGGCTCTCATTAAAGTGACACTGCCCACATACAAAATAAATAAATTCAGTAATTTAGTAGCTAAATTCCAAATGAAAACATGCATGCATTTAAAGAAATTGGGGCGGTATTTCTAAATACAGCTTACAAAAGCTGCAGATTTCAAGTCTGATGCAGTGTTCCTTATTCCCAAGCCCAGACTTTCTGTGGCTTTCTAATCACAGATCTCTCAATTCAGCTCAATGAGAAGACTTTGCAAGGTGGGTGCTCTGGGCAAATGCTGCCTCTTGAATTTAGATACACTGAGCAAAACAACAAAGAAGTAACAAGACCGATTGTCTTGACAGCCTGGGGGAGTGTAACAAGGTTAATCTTCTATTGAAATCTGCATTCCTCCCCCCACTCTTTTTATTTTACAAAAAGCAAACACCCATCACACATAAGGGACTATAGCAAGCTAAAGTGCTTTTGGTGTCTATAGTCCAGCGGGTCTAACGTGCTTCTAGAGTGTCCCTTTAAGTCAGGGCTCGACAAATCCCGGACGCCATTGCGACAAGAAACTTTGCCATAGCGCCTGGGATTTAAAGTCCTTTAGCTAAAGACAGGATGGGTGAACAATGGAGCCACCCTGGGATCATGGAGGTGGCCACCAGGGGCAGCATGCAGGCGTACGCCCTAGAGAACATCGCTGTGATCGGCTGGGGCAGCATGCGAGAGTGCAGTGATCTTCAAGCGGCTCCCCTCTGCTCCCTCGCGCTGTTTAAAGATGCCTTGAGCTGGAATTCCGGCTCCCAGCATCACTACAGGGAGCAGAGAGGAGCCGCTTGAAGATCACTGCTCCCTCACATGCAGGATGAGCGAGCAGCCCCACTGGACCCCAGGGAAAATCCACTCAGCTCTCCCAAAGTTAGGGAGGCTGCGTGGATCAAATAAAAATGGAAAATGTGCGTGTGTCTGTCAGCGTGTGTGTGTGTCAGTGTCAGAAAGTGTGTCTTGTATCTGTTTAGGTACCTGCACCCCTCCGATCACGAGAGGTGTTTACGCACCTTCTTTCCCATGCCATGCCAGTTTTTCGTGGCTTGTCCTGCCTTCATGGGTGAGATAATTAATCTTTAAGATCTCCGTTAAACCAATGCTTTCCTATAGGAAAGCATAGGGAGGATATTGGGCAGGTTTTCTATATGTGACATTCAGCACCTCCATTCAGAGCGTGGAGACGCTGAACAAAGGTGCTGCACACTGTGCAGCACTGACACAGGACTCTCTAGTGGTGTCTGAGTGACTGTCACTAGAGGTGTTACTCTGAAAAGGCAGGATTTACATTGAAAAGGCTACAGGGACAGGCTACAGGCACCAGAACAACTACATTAAGCTGTAGTGGTTCCAATGATTATAGTGTCCCTTTAAGAATTTTATATTTCTCGTAAAATAAAATTTGCTAGTTTTAAAAAAACAAAAATCTGGCTCCTAGATTCAAAACAAATTTGTCAAGCCCTGCTTTAAATTATTATTGATTTGCCAATATGTACTAACCTTCTGCATTGACCTGCCCAACGTTTTCCAATATTTCGGAGACGGGTACCTGCTTCTTCCTTTTTGGGTTCAGTTTCCAGTACATGACCAATGCTGCCTTTCTCACAGCCCTTTCCAGGTCCGTCTCGGAGGAGAGTTTTCTAATTTCATCTTCATTTTCAGTGGTTATTCCTTAAAGAAAACAAATCTAGTTGTCATTTTAATGTGGAGTCAGAGTTGGGAGCTTATGGTCTAATTGTGCAGAAACCAGAAGAAAATGCCAAGGAGGAGTACACTTACTGGTGGAGAAATATATTGTGGTCTGCTAAGCTATTCCTATTCAAACGTATAATGCACAAATTTGACACACAGAAAAAACAAAAATAAAACGAAAAAATAAAAACCCACATACACAAATACTTTACTAAACATTTCTAGAACTGTGCTTTCCACAAAATTCCAAAGTTATAAACTTAAAGGGACACTATAGGCACCCAGACCATTTAAAGTGGTGTGGGTGCCGTGCACCGGTCAGTTTAACCCTGCAATTTTAAATAAACCTTTGTGTGCAAACAAGAGGGGGCACTATAGGGAGCTATAGAGCTAGAAATACAATTTTGTATTCCTAGCCTATAGTTTCCTTTTAAGATTATCACCAGAAATGGGAGATGGCGAGACTGTGCCCATTGGGTGTGCTCACCCTCCACAAAATATTGCAAGCACTTTATAGAAGAACAACCAAATAATTATAATTATTATTATTTTTTTTAAAATATGGCAACTGCAAGACAAGTGTAATAGTCCACGCTAGTGTCGTACTCTTGCACATGCACCAGAGTATAACACTGATATCTATGGAGGATCCCGCAAGACCACGGGAGCTGCCATAGACAATACCTTTTTTCTTTACAGTCGTCACTATTGACGGCTGGGGGAAAAAAAAAATGACAAAACTTGATGATGGTACATCCATCAACCTTTGTCAGTTTAGTCAGGCATTGGTAAAATGCCAAATACAAAAGTAGTCCCTTATATCTTATATCTCTTGACAGAGTTGGAATTTAAGTGAAATTCCAACATAGTCCATGTGAGTATTTCATAAAGATTTTTCTCAATGTTTGACATATCTATATAATGCATTCAATTATGCAAATAATTAAAATTAAATAAATGTATAAAAAAAAAAAAAAAAAAGCACACAACCTTTCCAAACAACAGAGAGCCTGATTTCTTCCTAACAAAAACATCTGCCAATCAAGAGCCACTCATTCTGGACCACGTGGTCTAATTGTCTCCCGTAATCCTCTGCTGGACAGGACTTTAGGATATAAGTAGTTTATCCCTCATCGCACTCATCCCATAGGAAAAGTGGAAACTTTCAATAAAATTAATGTAGCCATACCACCACCGATTTTTATTTTTTTTTATTTTATTTTTTCTACACACAGCCCGGATCACACTTTTGTGATGGTGTATATGGCGGATTGCAGGGTGGACCTCTTGAGTTCATTTTCAGTGGTAGAAAACATAATTAAAACATCTGAAATTTACCAAAAACTCAGCCAGCACCCTGGAGTATTACTATTATAATGCAAGAGGACTAAGTTAAGTTTGTGTGTGTCAAACGTAATGCGAAAATGCCAACGGTATGTGATATTATCCGTTATAGAATTACAGCGTAAACTAACCTACACGGTCTGCCAGGCATTTGCGCAGGAGTTTCACAGCTTCTCTTCGACCTTGTTTGGCAGCCTCGACAAGCCAGTCCACTGCAGCACAGCTGTTAACCTCTTCATTTTCTTCCTCGGCAAGTTTCAAATAGTATTTTCCTAACTGTAATAAGAAAGAATTTATACATTTAACGGTTTCCTTATTTTATTTATTAAATCCCTCTGAATATTGTGCAAAACAACATTGGAAAAGTTATACAGAGTGCGTGGGATCCAATGGATTCATAGACAGCCAGGATAGCAGGTAAGTAAATGCTTTATTCCAATAGTAGTCAAAAACAAATGCAGCAAATAGTCCAATCCTTCGTCCGCTCGTAAGCCCAGGGGAATGTAACATTTCTATATAAAGTATGTAAGCCGTACAAAATACCCAGACGTGGCCGGTCTCGTCAATGCAGACAGAAAGATATTCCGTGTTCCTAGCGTGTGACGCGTTTCGCCCCTCCCTTGGGGCTTTCTCAAACGTTTAACGAATCCTCTCACTCTTATTCATCATTTATATGCACAAATCTTTGTCATGATCCATTCGGCAGTTCCTTTATAAAATACATATATACTCAACAAATACATTATCCCAAAACGTTCTTATGTGGAGGAGTCATTTAGTTTTTTAGTACTAAAAACATCTCATCATTACAGGGAACAACAAAAAGCACACATTTAAAAAAAAAAAAAATAGTGATTCAGAATTAGAACAATTCCATGATTAAATAGCACCATATCCATACACGTTTCACTTCTACTTATAAAATGTCAAAAATATATGTCTTGATAGTCAAAATATCGGCAACAACATTATACATCAATTAAGACATCATCAAAATAAGAAATATAAAACCAGTAAAATATGATAAGGCAGTATACAAAAGCATAGAAGCATGAAAGCATCAAGCCTATGGCATAAAAATCCTATCTACACAGTCAAAATATCAGCAGTAAGATTATACATTAATTAAAACCGGTCTGAAATGGTGGAAATACAGAAGACTTAAAAAAAATGAAAATACAAAAAGGGGTAGATTGCCTAGACCAAAACATCACCTAAATAATAAAAGTAAGGCAGTACATGACTAAAATAAGAATAAAAAGTAAATACATACGGCAATGACAAGCCTATGACATAAAAATCTAGAAGAAAAAAAAATTAATGTATAAAAATATACTACTAAAAAATTATGAACAAATTAAATAATTAAAAATCCTATTAAGACCGGACAATTTCTTGTGTTGTCAGAGAGTGTGTGTCTAGATGGAGAGGTGGAGATGTTGCAAAGGGGATGAGTTAGTAAAGATGACCACGCCCACCTGGGGGCACACACACAAAAAAAAAAAATCTCTGCACCCAGACATCTGTGACCCTAGGATTGGCAAAATTTAGAGACCGTCCCCACCCTCACACCAAATTTCAAAGAAACATGTCAACTAGAAAAATGAAGGGATCATTTTGGGACACTAAAAAAAAAATAAAAAAAAAATAAAAATTATATATATTAAAAAACGTATTTAAGGGTTCCAGGTTTGAGCATCACATACTCAAAACCAAACAAAATACAGTCCTGAAATCATCACTAAACTACTAAAACGTAAGTGTAGAGATAATTACTGCAGTTTCAACACATGGGTGTACTTATAACATAATAATGACTTATATGGGTACTAAAATAATTGATCTCATAGATCATATGCCGGCCTATGGGGCGGACATAGGCCACTCAACCCTTTCCCATTCATTAGTCAGACATGCTGTACTTCCACCTATCCACAGAAGTAATGGGCGTGCGTGGCAAGTGCATTAGGTCCTCCCCATAGAAAAGGGACACCTGCAGGGAATTGGCTGTGTCTATGACACACCGGATCAAGATGGTCTTGCCCTTGAAGGACAGGTTCAGATTAAGTAAATCCTACGTTTACCTGCCCCCGTCAGCCACCAGAGTCCCAGCAGTGAGTTTGCAAATTCGGCAAAGTCACCAAAGGGTGATGGTGCCACTTTAAATTGGTGGCAGGTACTGTTCAGGAGAGTAACTCCTAAAAATATACACACTCATACTCTTTGGAGCATGCACTACGTATAATTCTCCATAAAATATAAAGTAAGTTCACAGAATCACAGAACATGATGTTACCCAACTTAAAAAGTAAGTCACTTGCCCTACCTCTTGACCCCTGAAAAAACAAACAACCCATCATATATACATACATACATACATACAGATATACATAGACATTTCAAACAATTAAGCATCAATGCTACTTTGTAGAAAAATATGTGATCGTCATAAAACATACTGCACATGTAGCAGCTGGAATAAAAGTTTACTTTGAATGTATTCATATACAAGACCTTCGGCACACATGATGGAAATTATTTTGAGCACACGACAGTTATCGTGACGCTTCAAACATGTAGAAGCAGCAACTAATGACACATGAAACTGAGAAGGTCAAACACTTCTAATTTAACAAGTAAATGAACAGGTTCACCTAATGCATTTCTCACATGTAACGGAGGGCCGCCAACCAGGTTGCAAAAAATTTAAATCTGTAATACGATCCGTTCATTCTAGATTGGCTTTCCTTATGTTGAGTGAGACCATCTCAGTTAAACCAGCATAGAATGGAATTGCTGTATCCAGAACTGCAGAATCTTTAAAAGATTCTTATTTCAAATTTCAAAATGATTTACCACCAAAATAAAAAAGGTAACATTGCAGTTACTTTAATACTCTTGCGAATGCTATAATACAGGGTACGGAGTCACCAGTTGCTGGTGAAGCCACCTCCCTGAAATCAGTTTTTGTACTTTGGGAGGTCTTAAATTCTTAAATGAAAAATCAAAACGCTCTTATTTAAATACAGCTGGAGTTTAATTTCTATAAAGATACTCTTTTGCATAATGTTGGATTTAATGACTGCTATTAATTTTATATTATCAGCATACCAATTTTTGCAAAGGTTTAGCTGTAAAGACGAAATATTTGTCCTATAAAGCAAATAAATATAATAAAATTAAAATTCAAGGGGCGGAGCCTGTGAGAGAACTGGAGCAGTTGCCATATCCCTCAGCTCCAACAAACCGACGCAATATACCAAATAAAGGGGCGAATCGAACCAAAATCACCCGAGGGCAGACTAGAAAGCGACGGAGAGCATCACGCTGCATCAGCAGATGCCTTTCTTTCAATCCGCGACCAAAAAAGCCGCGGCCTCAGGGCCTACCGTGTGGGAGGCCATCCACTCAATGCGGACTGGGCTTCCTAGGTGTGGAGCGACTTGGGCCTGAGAGACCCAATCTCGGACTCACCCGCAGAAGAGGAGATGGGGCGCTAATCTCACAAATTGATGACATACACCCCCAAGACGCAGCGGGACATAGGCCAGATGCTGCAAACACCACAGACAGCCACGGCCAGAACCCGACAAACAGAGGATAGAGAATCTCCCCACGACCAAGCTCCCACTGAAGCAGAGAGCACTAGCCCACACAGATCGGAGGCAACAGCACCTGCAACTAAAGGGGGACATACAAAAAATGCTGGCCATCCTTCAACGCAACCTCCGGCAACAACGCAAGGCAAACTGACCTGGAAACCCTCAAAACAGAGGTAAAGACTGCGACAGCACGCACCCACACTAAGGAGGAGGACATACTTACCTTAAAACAAGGCCTGACAACACTGAATGAGCAAGTGCAACAGCTACAATCATCCTAGAGCACCATCCTCACCCAAGTCAGTATTCTTGACGACAGGGGCAGAAGAAAAAATATCAAATTCAGGGGAGTCCCTGAGACTGTTTCCCTAGACGAACTCCCACACTTTATCAGAAGACTGGTGTCTACCCTCATCCTGGCACTTCTCCTTCGCCGGGGTCTACCGAATAACCAAATCCTTGAAAGCCCCCACAACATCATCCTGAGATGCCACACGCTAGCGGACAAAATGGGCCTGCTGACCGCCTTAAAAGGAAAGACACCGTACCGGTTTGAATCCAGTCATTTCTCTGTCTTTTAAGATCTGAGCAGGGCCACCCTACTGTGTTAAAAAGAAATGCAACACATCACCAAACCTCTCCAAACCACAGGACGGACTTACCGATGGTCGACCCCCAGAACGCTGCCGGTTACCAAAGATGGGAGGACATACAAGGCCTCGGACCCGCCAGCCTTTCTGTCAGCAATGGGCCTCACTTCATGGGGTCTACCCACACAGGGACTATCCAACTCACATTTAGAAACTACCGATGAGTACCCCACCTCTGAGCCCGGGGAGGGTAGAAACCCAGCAACCTGAATCCAAATCAGCACCAAAAAGCTATAATAATTGTGTTTTATTTAATATGCCAAGTTACTCAACCTCTTATGTCACTTAACACGTACCCGATACTGTTGGAACAGGTTAAACTCACACTCATAGTGGCAGCTATCCCACGCTCCGATCACAAACCCCCCCCCAATGCCCTGGGGTTAAAGGGCATAGTAAATGATGGAGTAGCGCTCCCAACACCACCAGCCTAGCTTATAGAAGTAACATAGCCACAGTAAGCAGCCATATCGGGCTAAGCCCTGTGTGTACATGAACGCTCACACTCCACATCACACTCCATCCCCACATAGACTACTTCACGACACCAAGCCCTTACACCACTGCCTAAACTAATCTACTTGACACACCGCGGCACTGAAACAGGGGGCATACATGCCTCAAAAGCAAACGCACAGTGCAGATGGGCAAGCGGTAATGTGACTCTTTTCAAGTACCAAACGCCACTCAAAGGGACAGGTGGCTTACAAGCCTAAATCCTGTACCAGTGACACACCACCACCCAGGTGCTGAAACAATGCACCATTCTCCATAGTCTCCGCGCCCACCTCTGGTAAAGGTGGCCAACTCGCAATAACTAACCAGCCTGTTAAACCCAAAATGTGCATTGTTTGTTTTAGCTCAAACCACAGAATGTTTGGACTACGGTTATATTCTTATATTCATGCATATGCTTTTGTGGCATACCCAGACATGTATGTACCTCTAACAATGCATTGAAAAATAAAGAATTTAAAAAAAAAATAATAATTAAAATTCAAGATGTATGAGTCTTTAACAATCCACCTATATGGTGGGTTTAGAACTATAGGGTCACAAATACATTTTTGTGTCCTGATAGTATAGTGATCCTTTAACCAAACACAAGGAGAGTTTAAACAAAGGTGCAGGATCATAAATATACACCAAACGTTTACATTAAACTCCAAGTATATCAGACTTATTGATATTTTAAAATCATGCTTGTATTCATTGCATAACATAGTGTTCTTTCGCAATTTGTTTCATTAATTTTTTTGAAACACATCCCCGAAACAGTTCTTCATTTTTTTTCCCCACCAAGAATAGAAAGGATTCTGCAGAAGGGCTCTTTCTAAAATCCAACAGAACTTCCTAAATAGAACTATATATAAAACATGGCATGTATCTACTAAACAGCAAATAAAAGTAAAATGAAAAAAATAAGGTTAAAATATCTAATATGGAAAAACTCTCCCACTCTGCTATAAATCACAACATTATTTTGGTTATTTTAGCCTCAAAACATTCAAAATGTGTTTCTTCATTTGACCACAACTCACGGATTAGCAAATAAACTAAAAGGAGTGGCTGAGGGAGTATAATTCCTTTGTCAACAAAAAACATGCATGTGATCAATTATTTTAATGCCATTACATTTCGCATGACATAAACTTTAGTTAATGCTACTCAAAGAGATTGCAGAATTTATAATAAAAAAAAAAGGAAAGTATTTACATTGACAAGCAGATTTGTTTATATAATCCTATAGCCATTTCATATGCTCCAGCAATTGTGTTTATTCAAAGTCGCTTTAAAAATAACATTTATGCAAATATTTAGGTGACAGGAAATAAGATTCCTGGACAGTAAGGAAAAGATAAAAAATTAGAATTTTCACTTAAAAGGGACACTATACTCACCTGAACAACTTTAGCTGAATGAAGCAGTTTTGGTGTATAGAACATTCCCCTGCAGCCTCACTGCTCAATCCTCTGCCATTTAGGAGTTAAATCCCTTTGTTTATGAACCCTAGTCACACCTCCCTGCATGTGACTTGCACAGCCTTCCATAAACACTTCCTATTTAGGCTTTCTTTATTGCAAATTCTGTTTAATTAAGATTTTCTTATCCCCAGCTATGATAATAGCTTGCTACACCGTACAAGAGCCTCCTGTATGTGATTAAAGTTCAATTTAGAGATTGAGATACAATTATTTAAGGTAAATTGCATCTGTTTGAAAGTGAAACCAGTTTTTTTTCATGCAGGCTCTGTCAATCATAGCCAGGGGAGGTGTGGCTAGGGCTGCGTAAACAGAAACAAAGTGATTTAACTCCTAAATGACAGTGGATTGAGCAGTGAAATTGCAGGGGAATGATCTATACACTAAAACTGCTTTATTTAGCTAAAGTAATTTAGGTGACTATAGTGTTCCTTTAAGTAAATAACTTTGAACGGAAAGCATAGCAGACTTATAAAATGTTTCCAATTCAGCTAATTTGACCTTATAATGAGATATTTAGTGTGAATTCTCACTTTATTAAATAACCTTGATTATCTGTGCAAATGCAATTCCCGATTTCCCACCGTTTAAATGCTGTTATGAAGGTCAAAATGCATTTTTAGTGTTCATGTGCACCAAGGCAAGCAGGAGGAAAAATGCATTTTTTAAAGGGACACTATAGTCACCAGAACCACTACAGCTTAATGTAGTGGTTCTGTTGTTCATAGCCTGTCCTAGCAGGCTCTTAAATGTAAATGTTGTCTTTAACATTTTATTGTAAAGGTTTAGACTGCTGGCTAGTAACACCGTTAGGTGCAGTCACTTAGACAGCCACTAGAGGGGTTTCCTATATCTCTGCATGGAGGCGCTGACCAATTCAATGCATCTCGATGACCGAGAGTTGGAAGATCTATGTCTGAGCGAAGTCTAGCAGCGCAAGGGCTAAACTCATTGGCTGAAAGATCATCTGACACACTCAGCCAATAAGCTAGCTTTGTACTTAAACCTTTACTCACAGAGTTAATGGAAGCTTTGCGCAGGCCGTATGTTGGATGTAGTGGAGGCATGGAGAAGCAGCCAGTGGACTCCAGGTAAGAAGTCAAACAGTTTTAAAAACTATAACAGCCTACTCACAATAGGGGGTGCAAAGGCATACCTGGCACCATAACAACTACAGCACAAAGACCCACAATCTGCAGAAAAATCTGGTTGGTTCTAGAGAGCTAAGCAAGAGACCATGCAGGGCTGTGCTCATTGGCTGACAGAGATATCTATATAGATTATGCATGGAAACATTGTACAAGCTGCAGCTCTTGGACAGCAGCCACAAACATGATTCAGTGTAAAGCAGATTTAACTGGGTACGGTTTCCACCCCATAAACAAGAAACTGATACTTTTTCTCTTCACTTCCCAGGTATAGGAAAATATAATATGTTGGATTGGAGGGGGAGAGAGAGGGGATAAGCAAGAAGCAAGAGAATGCAACATAAAACAGTCTCCTCTACACCTAGGTACCTAGTGCATCCCTTCCGCACACACACACATAGTATGTACACAGCTTTCTCTGCAACAGTCAAAGACAACAGCAGCCTCAGACCCACATCGGCACCAGATGACTAAAATCAGCAAAATTATACACAGGCAGAATTTAAACTTTCTGGAGCGTAAGAATAACACAGAAAGGAAGCAACAAATCAATACAACAATCCAGATGTTTTTTGGTGTGTAAAGCTCTCGATTCTTTACCAAATGCTGCACAAAGATAATGGAGGTTTTGGTCCAGCCAACAATGGCCAAGGAGGGGGAGAATCTGACAAAACTACAACCCTGTGTGATTAGACTCATGATGAGATCTGTTTTGGGGAAAATTTTATTTGAATTTCTGGAAATCAGTTACTAAAAAAAATGATTGTGACGAAAGTCATCGTCAAAACATATTTATTGTCCGGGCTGAAAATATTTACAAAACCATAAAGATTACACTGTAAATCATATCTACATGTTAATAAACATAGCATTGTGACCAGATTTGGATCAATCCAAACCACCCCCGATAAAGTTCTTTTTAACAATCTCCAGCATTTGGCTTCATTATACGATGGTCAACACACTCTAACCCATCTGGATGTCATTAAACTTTTTAAGATGGGATCCAAGACTAAGCATTTAGGAGTATTATTCTAATAATTGTTCTTTTATTTATTAATATTAAACAATCATTAATGAACACTGTGTTTATATTTTCTAGCGTGCAGCAGCACACAAACAAAACTTATTGGAAGCACTGTAAAAGTAGAACGAAGGTCTCCGTGTCAGAGAATTCCTGATGATAAATTCTTTGCAATGCAATAAACTAAATTCTTCACATTTGCTGTGGACTTCTAGAATAGCCTGAAATGGTTGTCTTATATTTTTCCTTACATGTTTCCCAACTAATGTGCAGGATTAAAATAACACTGACCTGAATCTCTGCAACAGCCTAGTTAAAAAAAATAAAAAATATATATATACTAAAAAGGTTTAGTTAATTAACTGTAATTACCACTTGGACATAATGCATGTCGCATGTACAGATGAACATGAGTTCACTCAGTGAGTTGGGGGGGGGGGATAATTATCAGAAAAAGAAGAAAAAAGTGAAGTAATTGAAGACATAAGATTAATTAACATGTTTCGGCCATAATAATAAAATTATAATAAATTAAAGTTGAAAACCCAAGTGCCTTTGGGTTATGAAAAGTGTTTTCTATCGGAGAAATTACAGGATTTATTTTTTTTAGCTTAGTTTCCAAACCGGTCTTATTATTTATAGAAGATAAAGAGAAGTAATGTCAAACATACTTCATATCGCATTCTGCAAACTTACTGTTCTATATCACCAACATTTCACATTTCAGACTTTGGGAAAAGTTTGTCTTGTGCAAAGCATTTCTGAGAAACTATGTTTCCTCAATTTTCTCAAATTGCCCTGTTGGATATGCAATTGAACATAAATAAGCATCATGGTTCAAACTTTACATTTTTGCAGGAAGACTTTGCAATGGAGCAGTTCTAAACGCATCTTTTGGACAACAAAGCATGGCTTGGGAACCAAAACGACTAATGACCACAAACCCACCAGGAACTGTACAGGTTTGTACTTTTGAGACTCCTCAGCAAGATTTTGGTACTGGAAATGAATTATTTCTAGCAGAATGTAGCTGAATAATAAAGGAAGATGGACATACTACAAGTCATTGGGTTTTAGTACTTGATACCGTCTTGGAAATCCTATCCAGGTAATAAAACAATATAATCTCGATGCACTGTGTATGTATGTGAAGATTTAACCTAGTAAAAAACTCTTGGCTGCTGGACCTTTCAAACACAATCCCATCAGATGACCTAGGTCGCACATATTATTACCTCAGTCTGTGCCTTCGCATCGCCAGGTTTGGCTTTTCCCAACAACTCCTGCAAAGTGGCATCCTCTTCTTCATCAATGGTATCTGAAAGATGATGAGATGATATGCTTATAACTAGGCTAAAACTAGCATTTCGTAAGAACATTTTGTAGAATATGTGACGCATGGAGTTTCATTCCCCCAAAAAAAAAAAAACAATCTGTAGTGAGCTAAAAATTCAATTCTAAATTTAAAGCAGCTCCGTCATGTCAAACTTACTTTTCCTCAATCAATTCTTCTTTTCTTCCAATCTCGCCTTCTTATCTTTTCTATCTAATTTTATTAAAATACATAAAGCAAAGAAGGGACTGTCTTGCCTTATATATTTTCCTCTGTTTGACAAAGTTTAAGGCAAGTGCCACTTCATTTGTCAAGTTAGATTTTCCCTAGAATGGTCATCTGTCCTCCAAATCCCCTGCGTACATGACTACACAAGCATCTCCGAGAACTGATGACGGGCAGACAAAAGCAGAGACCCAACTTCACTGCAAAACTTTAGAAGATGGCTTTTAACTGGAATTGAGATCAGACGGTGACAAAAAATAAATTGGGGAGGAAAAAAGGACACCTGGTGGAAACTAAATAAGCTGCCAGGGCTGTTAGGGTACACAGAGTGGGGATAGGGATATAAAATTATTTTTTTTTAAATTAAAAAAATAAAGAGCCACAGCCAGTAACAGAGTCGCTTTAAAGGTTAAAGTTACCAAGGAATGACTGCAGCCGAGTGAGAGACTTTAAAAAAAAATCAGCATAGATTGCCTAAAGTTTGCATTTCATTGTTTAGTAAATAAACTCCTATATGAAATACAGGAAGTGTCCGTTTTTTAATGTAACAGTTTAGACAAATAAGGAGCAATAATTAATCTGAAATGGCTGCAGGCACAAAAAAAGTCCAGCCAAAGAACCTTTCCCATAGGTATTCTATGGTAAGATGTATGCGCTGACAAACTGATCACTTCTCATTTAGTTTTATAATCACATCCTGAACTCTATACATTGCACTAAAGACGATTTGGTTGATTTGCAGGCGACAAGGAACAATTAACAGGCAAAGGATAAAACAAAAATCCAATATGCAACAGTTCTGCAAAACTACTGCAGCTGGTAATGTACAGATCTTTTTGTGGAGTTCAAGCCAAAGGTTACTATTAAAGATACAAAAAGATAGATAATAGGTAAAAAAAAGTTTAAGATGTATAATAAAATGGCCAGACTTAACAAAACCTTGCAAGAACAAGCCATTAAAAACAGGACAAGGTCATTGCTACTAGGCAGGTACAGATATCATAGAAAATAACCTAATTGGAGTAGAAGGCGGCTTAAGTACGTTTCTGACCAACATCAATCATCTTGGACAGTAAGTCCTAGTGCACATGTATGCCTTGCATTCCGGCACACGGGCCGAGTGGGTAGCTCACAGTAACTAGAAAAGGACATCACCAGGCAACAACTAAAAGAACATCCCTCTACATTATGAGCTAATATGTGCCATTATGAAGCATGTGCAACAAGAATTGCTGTTCCAGTTTCTCTGTCTGAAGACCACTGATCAAAAGGGTTGGTAGCAGCTACAACGTGTCGTTATAAACTTCCACAATGCACTGGGAACAAACCAAAACTCGGAGAGTCAACCTTCTTGTATAAGAGGCAGCTAATTATATTTAATGTCTTGGTTGTTTATTGTATGGAAGGAGAACACAGAGGCCAGGTTTCTTTTTTGCTCACCAATTTAAATTAACCCAAGATGCCCCTTTAGGCTTGGCATGTTACTGGAGATTGCACATGAAGAGTGCCGTTACTCAATATATTTCCTGTAGTTACATCTTCCATATCTCACACCGTACATGATCCACATGATGGTACACTCGGTATCAGATGTGCCTTGCTGACATGATCACCAATATTAATGAATACACAACAATCTAAACACAAGAACGCTCAAATCTGAGAAGTGTGAGGTCAGTCACTAGAGTTTTAAATCTATAAAACGACATAAACCCAATAAAGCCTTAATCACATAACCTTACAGTAAAACAAGAAATATTGATTTAAAGGGAAACCATCACTTCTAGAAATTAAAAACACATAGAACTATGTCCTACAATGTTAAAAAAAAAAAAAGGGAAGTAAACAAAAACCACTTTATTATATGAAGTAATTTTGTGCTTGCATTGTCCATTAAATTAACTATAGGGAAGAAGTAAATAAAATATTGGAAAAAAATCTCAGGATGTCACCATTGCCTTTTAAGAACTGAAATTCACCATATACCTGACCAACACACAGCTGAAACCAGCTCACAGTGCAGATTTAAGATGCCTGGGTTTGAGCGCCAGTAGCGCAACTTATGTGGCAATCATGGCTTTCAGGACTATCACACACACTGAGCAAGTGCAAACCGGAAACTGAACCAAAAACAACATATGTATGCATTACAAAATAAAAAAAACACATAAAAAGGTTTCAAACATTTTTTTTTTTTTATATATAATATTATAAGTTTTCCATTGAATACTTAAAAACTTTAGCACGGAATTACACATTTGTGTACTAATTAATTTAAATAAAATTCTATTTATAGAAAGAATAACACAAATTAACAAAATGTGCCGAATGTTAAAATAAAAAAATAATATTGGTATTTAAAAGCATATATATTGTGTTCTAAATACATTTGCCTGCATGGAAGAACACACTACCTAAATAGTGCCCTTGGTAAATGCTATTTACCTAGTAAAAAATAAAATATTTAAATAAATGATTTCTTACATATTTTACAAGGTAAGATAGAGTCACCTTGTTCCACGGGACTCTGAATGTAGTTGCAGAGATCATATTAAGTGAGCAGGCAATACATGTTGAGTGATAAGAATGGAAACCAGATTGGAATGGAGTCAGGAACTTGGAATATTTGCAAAACCCGCACAAATGCCCACGGACACAATTTACAGGAGTTATATTGGTCTGCGCTTGTTGGCGTCACCACTGTTATTTACAAGAATGAATCATCCACAAAAAAGCATGTAATAAATAAATAATAAAATCCATAAAACTTATCCAAGTACCTCAGACTACCCTACGAATTTCAATCTTACCTGGCACAGGTGAAAAGACAGGAGAAGATTGTGAGCCAGAGGGGCCAGGTTTATGGGAATCTTCACGGCCATCAGCGCCCGTGGCAGCGTTCAGCTGGGATCTCCCAAGAACCTGGTGAGGGGCTGATAAGTCAGGATCCATTTTAGCTGTAAGGGATGGTAAAAACAAGGTTACATTTGTTAACATGACCATTAGATCCAAATTACACAAACCAAGTCCAGTAGCTGCTAATTAGCACTACGAAACAATGCAAAAAAGTATCACAAAACTAAATTCTTACAAAGAACTCCTGTCATGGAGGCAGGTATAGACAAACTTACACAGCTCTTCCCTATTCTCAAGATTCACTAGGCATTCTTTATATATCACACACGTTGTCAAAGGATCATTTACATGATATGCCAAGTTATGCCTTAGAGGAAAAGGGAACGATTGTAAATTGTCCAACCAATAGCCAACGTGTGAAAATTCTCTTTAAAATCAATTTAGATTTCTCTTATTCTATTTCTACCAAGTATTTCAAAACTCAGTTAGGGTGAGAAAAACCACAAAGCGGCAAATCATCAACTGTCACCTAGGAGAAGAGAAAATAAACAAGAAACATGGCAGCATGTTGAGTAAGCCTTGCCTTTTGTTAGATGCAATCAGCATTTTGGCTCCGTGAACAGTTACATTTACCAAGAGTCTATCAGGAACATCTTATACCCTAGCATATGTTAATCCCATACTATTTCATGCTGGTCCAGATATTGGTGCTCGTCCTACTTCTCTTCAAGCTGGAGACTATGCAATAATTGTCACAACAGTGACCCCTTCACGCAGAGCGTAACCCAAAAGGAGACGTATACCGGTCCTTAGAATGGCCGGGCTAAACGTCCGAGAATAGTCAATAGGATAGCCGAAGGTCAATGGAGTACAGAAGACGGAATAAACGAGAATCACCAAGCCAAAATTCGGGGAACCAGAGAGGAGAGTAGTCAGAGAGGAAGCCAAGGGTCAAAATACCAGAAAGACAAACAAGAGTAACAGTAGCACTAGAGGGACCAAATACAGACCACACTAGGGCGCTGGGGAAAGGACAGGGGCGCCCTTATATAGTGAGTGGCCCTCATCTTTAAAGCCACACCCCCAAAAAGTCCGGGAGCCTGGCCACGTTTGAATTTTCGCGGCAAAACCCTGATGACGTTGGCGCACATTCACCGTGTCATAAGAGGGGCTTTGCCGCAAGCGGCTAGCATCCAACAGGCTGCTCCGCCTCCCGGAAGCAGCCAGGGAGACCGCCGCGCAGCGTGGGTCCGGAGGATACAGGTAAGGTATCGTCACAATAATAAAATATGCAAAAGAAATTATATAAAAATAATAAATAATAAAAAAAAAAAAATAAACTTGCTTTTGAAGCCCCTGCATTTTCAGGCCAAGAAGCAACTTAGCCTATACACAAGCTGCCATTATTCTCAAGTGTGTGCAAAGGGCTTACAGACATTGAATAGTCAGATGAGGAATAATAGTTTCCTCTAGTTCCGTGTGTCACGGAGCATGGAGGCTTTCAGATTGTGTTATTTTAATGGAGGCTTCGGAGGGGATATGCTGAATTGTTGTTTTTTTTGGTAGAACGTTACCTCGCTGTAAGTAAATAATGCACTCACATTAATAAAAAAAACAGAACATGACTTAAAGGAAATGTGCTCAATTTACTTATAGCAATGGAAATATAACTAAAGCAAGCACATGATCTAAAAGATGGTGAACATAAAAAAGGGGCAAAAAGAAAACCGCCCTAACGCAATATCTAAAAAGAGATAGCCCTCCCAGGGCTCCATGCTGATACTCCAATCAGCTCCAAGCTTCTTATTCAGCTGAACAGATGTTTGCTGATCTGCAATCACGGAGCATATTCGTATAAAGCCCCGGGAGGTACAATCCCCTTATACTTTATTGCCCTGGAATTTTGTGCAAATATTGCACCCACTTAGATGGCCATTGTTGTACTGGAGGTGTGACTCAATCTCCAACACAACATTAGAAAACCCGGAAAGAGTGTTCAAGGCTGGCTAATATCCGTTCACTCATTCATTGTCTGATAGTGCTCAGCTAATGCTCTCAGCCGATGAATAACCACCAGAAGATGAATGCCATTTAGCTGGCATTGAGAACACCAGGTAAGAAACGGTTTGCCCCTTTACCAGGGAGCGGCGCCAGGTACTCCTGCCATAATTACCACTACAATGGGCTGTGATGATAATAATGCTCAGAAGTAACCCTTTGAAAACTCTTAAAACGGAAACTATAAGCACCAAAATAACTTTAGCTAAATTAAGTATGTTTACTGTACAGATTATGCCTCTGAAGTCTCACTGCTCATTTCTCTGCCATTTAGGAGTTATGTTTGACTCAGAACACTGTGATTGGTTGATTGAAAGGAACCGATTCGAGTGTTGCAATGAGTCAAATTACACTGCATGGGAAAATTCCAAAGAACTTAACCACGCTGTGTAAAATGACAGAGCACTCTGATTGGTTGGATTTCAAGTCTCTACATTTACCTGTCACAGCACTCTGATTGGTTGGCTTAAACCAACCAATCAGATCGCTCTGAGCCTAAGTGCAGGGCGTGGGAAGGCTTTATAAGCCTTTCCCTGCCCTGCGGAGCTCAGTCTGTGCAGTGCCCTCGCTGGGTGAAGATGGATTTTTTTAGGTCCCCCCCATTGTAATTTAAGGCCCCCACCTGTTGCTCAAGGGTGTGTGGGGGGGAAATAGGACCAATGTGTTCAGTTTAAGAGCCCCCACTCGCATGGCATGGTAGGGGCTCAGGAGGGGGGGGTGATACTATGTTTTGGGCTTTGTTTTTTTACAGTGAGCAGCCGACATGGGTGGGGGCTCGGGGGGGAATACTATATTTTGGGGGTTTTTTTTGTGTTTTTTTATAGTGAGCAGCCACAGGCATCTCACTGTTTACTACACATGCCCTTACTTGCGATATAGCGAGTAGGGGCAGGATTTACTAATACTAAGTAATTTTTTACTTAGTATTAGTGAAGTTGGCTGAAAGACCAATTTAGACTAGAGCAGATAGGAAGAAATGAAGAACAGATCCTGACTGAGGGAGAGAAGAGGAATCGATTAAAGAAAGGCAAGTTCGGCATGACAGTGCCGCTTTAGTGTAGTTGCTCTGGTGTGTATAGCCTGTCCCTGCATGCTCTTTATTGTGAACATTACGGTCTAGGAACACCTCTTGTGACAGTCACTCAGATGGCCGCTAGAGGAGCTTCCTGGGTCAATGCTGCATGTTTAGCCTCTCCACGGAGGCGCTGAACATTCCTCATAGAGATGCATTGATTCAAACTGCAGGAAATGCCTCTAGTGGCCGCCTGGTAGCAGTTTTACATTGCACATTAAGGGGAAAAGGGACACTGTAGCCAAATCCATTTTGATGAGATGAAGTGCCTATAGTGTCCCTTTAAAGCAGCACTATCACGTTGGAACCATTCAAAGCTTCTAACGAAAAGCTGCAAGAGGTGAAGTGACATATCTGGAAAAAGGTGTTAAACTCCATATGTGCCACATTTCAAAGTAAAACACTATATTTGCAGACTTAAGGCACCATGACCACTTTGAATCACTGAAGTGGTTATGGTGCGTGGAGTAAGAGGCATTACCCATGGAGTCTCTTCTTGCTCTCCTGCAGTGTGTAATCAGCTGCAATACTGAATGTACCCTACCAGCATCAAGGCAGTGTATTTTACTGTACCCTATTGTATCAATTCAATGTTTTGTGGACCCAGGACATATCTGAAAACGAGAGAAACCTTAATGTATCTTTCCTGGTAAAATATTTTATAAATAAATAAAAATGCCTTGTCCAGACTGCAGTCAGTACAGTCTGCTCCCAAAATCACTCTTTTAACACAATGTACTAAATATACAGCAGTGAGCGCGCTCACACTAAATATCTGTGCAAATAACCTTGGATAACACTTCTATAGGTGTCCACTAGACAATGTGCAAACCAAAACAGGAATCACTGGAACAAACCCTTTCATTTACATCACTAGATACTAAAATGGGTGTATCCAGAACTAGATTCACTGTCAGACTTCAAGGTACACACAACATTAGCAAGGAGTGCATAGATGGCAGCTTATTTGGCTTACAGAGGGAGCAAATAGATCCAAATGCCCATAATAGGTGATATGTTTAACAAATCAGGAAGCCCAGGAGCAGACTGCTGGCTGTGATAAGAGCTGGACTGCTGTCAATGTAGGTGTTCTAGAACAGACCTGCTCTAATATAGACTGGAAAACCCAAATTTGAAAACAGGGAGTGGTAATAAAAAGTCCACAGATGACGCAGATCCTCTTAGGTAGCAGGGGGTAATATTTCCCATTAGGATTTGCCTTTATTACGTTACTCCAGTCTTATAGTGAACACGAAAATAAAACAGCAAGCTTTGCAGAACAGGAACACTCGTGACCTCCCACTGACTGATAGACAAACCCTGATGCAAAAGAGCCTAGCCCTGATTTCAGTCCCACTGGCAGAGGACACTGCAGACCAGTTTTGCCAGAATTCCAATGGAAATACAGTGTAAAATGCCAACCCTGCAGCTCACATACTACATACCCACCCTGGCCTTTCTCTGAACCTGACAGATGATCTAATAAATGCTGCAGGGAGACAACTTCATCCCAAGTCATAACCTGCCCTGTGTTTATATCACCCCCATGTGAGGAGGGGCCTGCAGGAGGCATTCATAACACAGTAAAGTTCTCATTACCAGGCAGCCAGCTTCAGTTGAGTAAGACACCTTCTCCAGTGCAGTGGGGGTGTCTTCCCTGCAGGATCAGTCAGCAGTGGCAGTCTAGGGGTGATCCCTGTAAAGTTAGCCAGCCCTGCCAGCTTGGGCTCCAGTGTGCAGCCCCAGCCCCCTGTGTCTCTGAATGCCTGGGAATAGCCAGCTGCCTAGCCCCGCCCACAGCCTGACACATGCCTCTCCATTCAGGCCTTGCAGCCTACTGTGAGAGCACAGACCGGCTGCGGTGATAGGCCGATGTCAGCTGCGTTCGATTGCTTTTCCTTGCGCTGTGAGCTGTGGAACACAGTGTAACAATGTATCCAGTGAGCTGTAATACAGCATGTTACAATGTCTTTTACTGGTATTGCACTCTGTTTTATAGCCAGTTATTGCAAAGTTATTAACTAGATTGCAGGAGGGCTGTGTGCAGTGTCATTAGTTCCTCGACATACATGACATTTACATGACATTTAGCAATTTTATTATTATTATTATAAATAATAATAATAATAATTGTAGTGCATAGTACTTGTTGTCTGGCACACCAGGGGTGTTTTTTTTAATGTATTTAAATATATGGTCCAGTCAACCTTTTAGACACCCCTGTAAATGTTGTTATATTTAACAAAGCAAAAAAAAAAAAACACACTAAGGGGCACTGTAAACCTCCGTATCAGCACATTGTAGTGGTGATGGTGCAATTTGTCCTCCAGACGCCTGCAACCCAGACCCTCATTTTACTATTTTTCAAATATTTTTTTTATTTTTTTAATAATAATAATACTAATTATTGCAACTTTTTTATCAGACAATAATGAAAAAAGTACAATAAACATATATTAATATGTATAAAAAAAAATGCAATGAAAAGAATTGTTAATAACTGCACTAGAAAGGTTAATTTCATACAAATTTGTAAATCAATTGGTCGAGCTTGTCATGTCAGCTAAAGGAGGTCAGAGTGTTTGTTTTTTTCCCCTCACCTTTTTACAGTGTTGGAGATTAGGGGGTCTGGGATGGGGGATGGGCAAGCCAAAAAGTGGGTAGCAATGAGAGTATGGCATGACTGAGAAAGGGTTGGTTTTTCTGAGAAATTGGTTTGTCAGCCTTGCATTCATGCACGCCAGGCTGACCACAACCAGGGCAACCCATGCGCAGAATGCGCCTGAAATTCTGTGAGCTTGGCCTGAATATACAGCCTATATGTGTACTGAGAGTGCATCTATTGATGCCAGAGAGTGCTACGCTGTTTAGGAGCATTTCATAACATGCTGATTTTGTGATGTTCTCTCAGGAGACAGTAGGGTGGGATACTTACCTCTACAGTGTTTCCGAGGGAGAGGGAACAAGGAAGTAACAGTTCTAATGTAAAAGTTAATAATGCAGGAAGGGCATGGTTGTATCACTGAGGGAAAGGCCAGGATTGTGCCGATGGGTAGCCCGTCTGTTAAGACCCACTGCATAATTAGAAGCAGCCATGCTTCATTCATTGCGCTGGCTAAAACACTTGGGTCAGCCAATGCATAGTGTACTTTTGAAAATTAGTCCTCTGTGTCACCAGAAGTGGGACTGTTTGTGATAATATGAATCTAACATGCATACTGTAACGGATCACCTGGACTGGGTACCTCCGTTGAAGGATACTCCTAGCACTTCCTGAGGGCTCCAAGCACTCCAGACGACACCATAACCACCGTAGACTCCTTCAGAGAGCAAGGCAGGAACAGGCTCTTACAAGAGCTTAGAAGTGATTTAGCAAGGGAGTATGACAAGCATAGCAATCCCTTGTAGCAGATTCCCCCAATAAGAGACAGCACTCCAAATTGAGGGTGAAGTAGAACTGAGGTTTTTAATGACACACACTCTGCTTTTATGCAATTCTCCCGTGCAAGGGAGACGTCCACAGACAATTATGAATTACCCAATCACACACTGGTTACATCCCACACATCTCCTCCCCTTAGCCTGAGAGGTAACACAATTAGCCGTACAGTTTAAAACATACTTTTTACCCAACTTTCATAACTCTAAAACTATACATCCAATATTAATATTGAAAATTCACATATTATTAATCAGCATATTCCAAATACAAACATACCCAAAAATCATTCAAATCTGTTCTGCCGTTCGTGAGATAGATATAAGTCACATTTGACCGACCGCAAGCACATTTTCATGCCCAAAACAGTTCCAGAGAATCAGGCTGTGCGGCCGGTCTATTTCCCATGTTAAAGTCAGTTCAAACAGACGAACGACAACCAGGGCCGGCCTTAGGGGTGTGCGAGCTGTGCGGCCGCACAGGGCGCCATGGCAACAGGGGCGCCGGGCGGCCAACACAGCTCGCAGGCCGGCCGAATTCTGTATTTAAAGTGCAAGTCAAGTGCATAATACTGCTTTGCACTTGACTTGCAAATTATGAGCAGAGAGCCGCCGCCGGGAATCCACTTCTGTATGGAGGGTGGAGGAGGAGCGTGGGGGCGTTATGCCGCGTACTTGCGTAACGTCGACGTGCTCTGTCATCAGAGGGAGCCGCGGAAGGATCCAATTCAGTGAGTGAAGGCGGCACCCGGTGCTCTTCAATCGGCGGAGACAGCTCAGTCCAGGGAGCAGCAGCCTTTACTGTGAGTGACTTTTTTTTTCTTTTTTATTAAATAGGTTTTGTTGAAGAGGTGCAGGAATTTAATTAAGGGGGGCAGGGGATTGATGAAGGGGTGGCATGGATTGCATTAATTGGAAGGGGATTTATTAAGGGGGCTGATAAAGGGTGGCAGGAAACTGAAAAGGGGGGCATGGGGCTGATTAAAAGGGGCAGGTGGTTGATAAAGGAGTGGGAGGGGATTGATGAGGAGATCAGGGGGCTGATGAAATGGGGGCAGATGGCTGATAAATAGGTGGGAGGGAATTGATGAGGGGGCAGGGGACTGATGAAGGGGTGGCCAGGGGTTGGATTATTTGGCATGGGATGTATTAAGGGGGCTGATGAAGGGGAGCAGGGGGTTGAAAAGGGGGGCATGGGACTGATTAAAGGGGGGCAGGTGGGTGATAGGGGTGGGAGGGTACTGATGAGGGGGTCAGGGGGCTGATAAAAGGGGGAGGGGATTGGTGAGGGGGTCAGGGGACTGATGAATGGGGCAGAGGGCTGTTAAAGGGGTGGGAGGGGATTGATTAGGGGGTCAGGCGGCTGATGAATAGGGGCAGAGGGCTGAGTAAAGGGTGGGAGGGAATTGATGAGAGGGGCAGGGGACTGATGAAGGGGTGGCAGGAATTGATAAAGGGGTGGGAGGGGATTGATGAAGGGTAAGGGGTGGCTAGGAGTTTGACGAAGGGATGGCCAGGGCATTGATGAAGGGGAAGGGGTGGCCAGGAGTTTGATGAAGTGGTGGCCAGGGGCTTGGTGAAGATCTGGCCAGGGATTTTGGTTAAGAGGTGCAGTGGTTTTGTAGAAGGGGGTGGAGGCAACAGATTGTGAATGCTCCTAAAATAGTTTGAAGGGGTCCAAACAGAGACAGGTGAGGGGGGGGGCGCCACAAGATTGTTTCGCACAGGGCGCCTGAACACCTAAGGCCGGCCCTGACGACAACCATTCGAATGGTCGAACTGTCGAATGAACTGTCGAATGCATTAGTTCCAGGGAAGGTAAAAGTTTAGCGGTGTTCGTGCCGTTCTGTAGCCGATTTTTAGTTCCATGAATTTGACGGCACACACCGCTGACTGCACTCGACTGAATCAAAATGGCCGCCGCCACGTGTTCGGTTTTCTAATGGCGGCCACTTCGATTACTTCAGCACTTCGGCTGCATCCGAAGTGCCATGCCAAAACTGCAGGTCCTTTCCCAAGTACTTAAAGGGCCAGAAACAGCACAATAAAAATCCATTATTTCCAAATACAGCTCTTTAAAGGGCAATAAATCCGAGGGGCCATAGTCACATGGCAGGAGGCTGGCAATCAGTCTTCTCCAAAAACCAGTGGCAAGGTCGGTTTCGCCACACATACATTATAAGCAGGGGCGGACTGAGAACCCTCAGGGCCCTCGGGCAAAATAAATCAAGGGCCCCCTTACAGGCCCCACCCATACTCTGCAGCAAGCGCCACCCTTGTCCCGCCTCCATGCACCGCCTCCAGCCACACCCCACACAATCTTTAGACACAAGGAACAAAAGGGCAATAAGCCCTTCGAGGCCCCAGTAGAGACTACAATTGAGGGCTAATGGGCCATGGAGGGGGGGTCTTTCTAGCGGAGGCTATCTCAGTGTCCTTTAGAGAGTGTGTTAGATAGAATCCCCTCCAAGCCCCATTAGAGACTACAATGGAGTCTAAAAGGCTTGGAAGGGGGTCTTTCTAACAGAGGCCATCTCAGCGCCCATTAGATATCCCCTGCTGGAAACAGTCGCCTCCAGGCCCCAGTAGAAACTACAATTGAGGGCTAATGGGCCATGGAGGGGATTTCTAGCAGAGGCTAGAGTCTAATGGGGCCTGGAGGGTGGTCTCTCCAGCTCTCTTCCTATTCACAATATAGCAACACAACATAGCTCGCTGATACTTAAGCCAAGTTGGCTCCTCTTACCTTAATTACTGTTGCTGGCTGGCAGTCTGTGGGCTTGCTGGCTGCGGCTGGCAGGCTGTGGGCTTGCTGGCTACTGCCGGCAGGCTGTGGGCTTGCTGGCTACTGCCGGCAGGCTGTGGAAAGCTTGCTAGCTACTGCCAGCAGGCTGTGTGAGCTTGCTGACTTCAAAGCTGGCAGGCTGCATTGCTGGCTGTAAGCCTGGCAACTGCTATGAGCCTGTAGGCTGGCTAACTGGCTGGCACAGCCAGCCTGTGGGGTAACTGGCT